GTGGAGAATATGGGAGGCTTCGCCGCCAAACCATTCGATGGCTTCAAGGTCAGCGCGCCATATGAAGTCACTCCCGGCTAGCTTCGTTTTCAGGTGAGCGGTTGTCAGGACTGAAAGAACTTGCATGTTTGAATGCAAACGGCGTTTTGTACCAACATTCCTAGTTGCTGTCTTAACTGGGGCTATGTATTTAGGATAGGTTGTAGTCTGGGATGAACTGTCTAGCTCCTGGTGAATTCGCATCTATAGGTGGTATAAAGTGATAGTTGTCAGGTGTTGAATAGAAGTTAGAAGTTTATCTCGGTGATCAGTGTTTTGGTACAATCCACCGTCACAATCAGCATATCGGGTGATAAAGGGAAACATAGATGCCTGAGAATTGAACCTAGTTGTCCCAGAATTTGGGGAAGCAATATTGTCAACCAGAGTATCTAAAGAGGACACTAGGAATAGGGTGCTATATAGTCTAATGATCTTCATGTAGAATGCCTTTTAAGGTTTATATGGTACATTTCTCACGTCCTAGTTTAGGCTATATTACAAATGCTTAAATACAGCGACTGTGTTTTGCATTTGAGAACCAGTAGGAGCTTTGATGTGCACATACAGGGTTAGGGGAAGGTAGTTACTATAACCCTAAGGGAAGGAAGGGTGAAGGGCGTATTTTGGGTCTAATGACCTCAGATAAGAGTGGTTTCCACAAGTTGACACCATCAGATCTGTCATCTCGTATTAAGCATTTCTGCGTCATCTTGGTCCGTCACCACTTTACCTGTGCCATGTGCTGTCATTGCTTTCCCCTTTGGCCTCTGCCCTCTTTTATAGCCGTAGTGGTACGGCTGACATGGAGGAGATTAGAGATCGTTGCACTGGTCACCAGGTACCCGGCGTTGTTCATGGTCTTTGTTGCTCTGTCTTCACGCGTTCAAAAGCTACAATCATTCTCCGGCTTCTCACAGCTAAGGATGGTTTCCATGAGTCCCTACCATCAAATCCACCATCTCTTGTTGTCAAGCTGTTTTTATATTTTGAATTTTCTTGCTACCTGTCGCCGGTACTCTCATAACATATGCTATCATAAAATTCATTCTTGAGGAACTTCTTTTCCTTTTGCTAATAGTGATGTTTCTTACAGAAGCCTGTGACAGCTGCACGTTCGCCTCACTATTGTACAGTGGAGGTATGCGAGTAGTTGGTCTGCAAGATAGTCTTAGAGTGAGACAAAGTCAGAAATATGAATATTAACGATGATAGGCTAAATTTATTTACTTGGAGTAAGGAGTAAAATATTCATTTTCTATGGTTCAGAATGAATAGGTGTTAAGTCTAGAGGTCAGTTAGGTCACATCAGAGTAGCTACAGAGTTCACACTCCGCTTCTTGTCTACTCTAGGTCAGTTTTTAAGAAATCAGGTTTTAACTTAACCTATGCGCTTAGTTTTCGGCATTGTATACTTATGTCGTTGCTGTTAGTCTCCTTTGAGTCTAGGTACAAGTAGCACCATTGTACGTGGTATTACCGTTTGTGATTTGGCCGTCAAAGAATTGGTAAGAGTAGTTAGATGGAACGAATTCGCTAAGTAGTCTTTGAAACTTGCCAAGCGACAGACATGCTCGTATAGGAGCTGGAGGTTTGTTCCACGGTGTACTGTAGTGCGTTATGAAAAACCTACATTGAAATTTTGAGCGATACTTATTTGTTGGAATGGTGTGTTCGCTATTACGCAGACTATGTGCTGGTGTTGATCTGAAAGTAGTAGCGCAGTCCGTTTTAGAGTTTCCAAATAAAAGACGAAAAAGAAATGTTAGGTTGAGCTTCAGGCGTCTCAGTTAGAGTGATTCTGGTTCTAGTTTTTTTGCACCTTGCTTCATAAGGAAGTTCTTCGTTATGTACTAGTAGGCGCCAAGTAAAGTTTCGCCGGATGTTCTCTACTTGAATTCTATCAGATACTTTCATGTTATTATATTAATATTAGTAAATAAACAAATATTTTATTCTCAAATTTCAGAATTTAAATACGAGGGAAGCAAGTTTACAGGCATCTTCAGATTGATAATTTTAAAGAAATCTCCAGTAGTTGAGCCGTCCCGAATGATAAGGAGGGTATAGCATCAGGGTTTATCATGATATCAATAGTGACTGCAGGTTATAAAGAGAACAGAAAAATATCACTTCACAGTGCATACAGATTATGTATGAGTTTCGGTTGTCTCCACTCACCATTCTTTTTTCAAAATAAAGTGTTACCAAAATCGTACAATATTCGACGTTTGCGTTACATTTGGTCGAGATGGTTAACCTGGTGGTATAGTTCCGTGTTTCGACAGATAAACGTTTATTTTAACATCAGTTCACATGCCTATAGTATCGTTGGCCAACAAAAACTCACTTCATCGATTTCAGGTAAGAGTAAGCGTTAGCATAACCATATAATCCACATGAGTATATAAGTCGTCGCATTCCCCACTGGTAGTGTGACCTTACACAGCAATGCAGATGTAATCCATCGGAATCAGTTGTTGGAGTACAAAGAAGTAAACATTTGAAGGTCTGTTATCCAATGGTGATGGAATTCATAGGATTCACATTGAAGTATACAGCATTATCAAGGAGGTTTGTTGACCGTTAATTGTCTTCTATGAAACGGAGTCAAATGAGGTGAAGTAGTGGGAAAGTTTTTCTTGGGCGAACCATAACTTTCTATAGTATAAGTTTTCTCTCAGGTGTATGTTTTTGTGTGGAAGACCTATGAGTCTTCTGTCTTTGGAAACTATGGAATCTGCATACTCCGTAAAAGCCAAACTCTTGGAGTAAGTGACTCCAAGGTCTTTTACAGTGTTGAATATCTGCAGTGCGGTGTCACCCAAGTGTAGCGTCACTTCTCGGTGGGGTTTATTGAAATGGAGGATGTCAGCGCATACCACTTAATTTATCACACATACTACGGATTCGCTTACTTCACATAACAGAGACTATTGCGATGCACATCTACAAACCCAACCTTTGCATTGAAAAGAAGTTTGTTCAGCCACTTTCATTACCGTGGCTGTCAACATGATTTGATTTTTAGTATTAGATGGAACATCTCTTCCTGTCTTGTTCTACCAATATTTATTTGCCCTCGTATTCTCACGTAATCAATTATTGCTTATGACTTGCCACTCTAAAAAAAACACTCTATTTGCTTCACCAGTTATTATGCACTTTACCTATGGATAACCTTTTCCACATTATGATTATCATTTTTGATCCTGTATAATTACTCTGTTGATCATTCCCACTTTGATTTCTAACTTACTCCCCACCACCTCATTGGTGTTTTGATTGAATTAAAAACCTGTTTATCAGTGTAGAGCCAAAGATGAAGGAATATATTCTTTCTCTCAATTAGCCATTTTTGTAAAGGAAATATGTTCCTAGTTGCAAGAAGAATTGTGGATTATTCATATTTCGCAGGAACAAATCTCGCAGCCACTTTCCTAGTTTATGACCTTTTAAATAAGTGGATAATAGAAATCCAGCCTTCCTGAACTACCTTCTAGAGCATACCTCAAGATGAGTCTTTTTTCACCTCTAGAAGTCAATTAACTGTACATTTCTACTTTTAAGCAGTACATTTAGGTGTCTTTGGAAGGTAAACAATCAATTCCATTTCAATTGTAGGCTGTTTGCAGCTGATGAAAGTCCATGAAATAAAATGAGCTCATTTTATTGTGCAAGCGTCTTTGTTCTTGCATTGTTCAAATTTTGTCAAGGGAACTAAATGTATAACAACCATTGAATGTACTCAATCCAGTTCTACAGTAGGTCAATCGCGGTTCAAATAGCTTAGTGGTAACACCTATGACAGCAGCATTGTGTAACGCAGATTTGAATCTATGAAAGGAGATCAGTTTCATCGAGGTTGTAGACATGCCTTTATTGATGAGTTTCTGCCAGGATAAAACCTCATGTCCAGGACTTCCCGTGAATTTCCTGCAACCAATTTATCATTAACAAGTTGCCAATTACGCAATCCAGCCATAGTTGAACTAAAAACCACTTTGAAATCAGTACTATCATCAGTTATATAAAAAAAATTAATTTCATTGCTGTTATTATTTTTTTCTCTAGTTTCTCAAAGTAGAAAAAAACTTTTATACATTACTTAAAATACAAAGAAGAGTATGAAGATAGAGTGGAAGTAAACGAGAAACAAAACTATGAATCGTGATAATGATAGTGAGAAAGTGATAGAGAGAGAGAAAAACCCACGGGAACGAAACTGAGTAAAAAATATATCTTGAATCATCATATGATTATTGTTATTACAAAAAAAAGATAGAAAAAGAACAACGAGAATACAAAACCGATTTATTTTGTACCATATATATATGCAGGCTGTTCTAAACCATATTTCTTGTTTTACTGAAAAAAGTAAGAACAACACTCATGAAGAAAAATAATGATGCTATAGAATGAATTGTTGTTTCAATGGTGAGAGGATAGAATGTTGTTATGCAATTCTTTCCTTTTTTTAGGTGGAAAGTAGCAAGTACAAAAGGAAATGAAAATAATGCATAGAAGCGAATTTGTGAAACAAGGATCTACATGTATAACTATGTGAATGTGTATAGACATGAGTGTATATCACAGTGAATTCACGAACTGAATATGTGTACACAAACAGACAAACACATACACACATTGTGAAATTCATAAACTTACAGAAACAAAATAAGAAAATTGAACGAAGAAATAGAGTGGAGAGATGAGAAGGAATTAGTAAGTAACAGGAAATCCATGAGCATATCAGCAAAGAACAATCGCAGTGTGTAATTTAACGCTTGTGTAATAAATAAAATAAATTCTTAGAAATAATCTATTTTAACAACAAATGCAATATATCAATGAGGTTTACTAGAAGACGAAAGGAGTGGAGGAAAAAATAGTAGAAATCATATGACATTTGTGTAGTTAGTCATTGAAATTGTTCAATAGAGTGAGTTAATTTAAAGTGTTTAAAATGGCGGGTCATTGACATGGAATAAAACAAATGGACTATAAAACCATTCACCAGTAGGACTTTTCTCATTACATTTAAGCCATGGTAGAAGTAGAGGACAGCCAGGAATGAAGAAAATACACAGTATTAAGAAGAAAAGAAAGAGGATTGGCAACATGAGTAATAGATACGGTAATAGTCGACAAAATCTTCGTCGTGTTTTACTCATTTTAGCAGGAATTGACTCTCCACTGAAAATGAGGAAATGTCAAACATTTTAAATTAAAAAATTATTTGATTTAACCATTGTATGCAAAAAAGCGTCATCAGTATCAACATAGGACCAGGCATTACTGCGTAACGGTCCGAGTTGCCACAGCTCATATCAGTACATCAAGTAGAAAGGCAGTAAGGCGCAAGATGAAAATAAGAAAATTCAGTCAAAAGAAATATACAGTGCTAGAGTCTCCAACCACTGGTTTCTCTTGTCTTGCAGACCGCAACTGACTAGTCCGCATAGCCTTACATGGCTCAAACCATCAGTCAAAGACTTCACATATTGGTGCCATGTTTAGTCTGGCCACCTCGGGGCTTTTTCCAGACTGGACCTACTTCGACCAACATTGTGTGGCGAGGTAATCGGCGACTAAGCATACGTAGTACGTGTCCCAACCATCTCAGTCGATGAAGGTTCATAACTTCGTCAACTGATTTACCTCCTCTCTCTAAAGCTCTACACCTGACTTCTGCGTTGCTCACTTGGTGACCACGGAATACGGCCTATACTATGAAGGCAACGGTGGTCAAACACTTGAAGCCTTCTTATGTCTTCCACCTTCAATGGCCGTGTTTCACGGCCATACAGCAGAACAGACCAGACTGCTGTGCAGTACACGCGACGCTTAATACACAATCGGATATCACGGCGGCACGATAGATGGTGTAAGTTGGCAAAAGCAAAAACAGCCTTTTGTATCCGTGCAGAGATTTCATCGGCCACTAAACCACTAGGGCTGATCCTAATTCCCAGGCAAGTGAAGTGGTCGACACACTCAACCACTACACTCTCCATTGTTAGCCGAGGCACCGTTGAAGACCAATCCTGGAGCAGTGATTTGCATTTGGGTGGTGAGAAACGCATCCCAAACATTCTCAAATTGCCACTCAAAGTGTCCAGAAGACTCTGCATGTTGTCAGCATCTTCACCTAACAGGACTATGTCATCTGCATATTCTAGGTTTGGTGAAAATTCTCCTGTGATTAGGTCAACGTCTGTGTAACCAGGTGAGAGAGGAACCTCCATGAGAATATCGATGATAAAAATGAATTAGCAAAGAAAGCATAAGCTAAATTAAATTTTCAGAGTTTATCGAAGTTGAAGGTAGACAACATGCGATTTAACCACTCACACTGTTTCAGCAATGAACTCTCAATTACCATGACTCTGTCGAAGCAGATCGTCAAAAATGGGTAAAAAGACTCTGGTTATCAAGGTTTCTTACTATTGTTAAAAATTACCCTTAAACCTTAAACTCAGGCATGATGAACTAACACTTGTATCTGGTGTTTAAGGCTGAGTTGTCTTTCATACAGAAAACAAAACAGTGCTGCCTAGTTCTTTTTGAAATCTCTCTTCACTCCACTCCAACTCCTCTTCATCATCACAACAGTGTATTTCAGCAAGACTTGTGTACTGGATTGCAGAATAAATTTCGGCATTTGAGAACGAAAGATTAATACAGCTTATCTACATAATCCTGTATGAAAATTGAATATAACCTTAGGCTTTTTTGTATACCAATAGTACACTCACTTGGAGTGAACGACTAATTTTCTCCCAAAGATTGTTGTAGTTGCTAGTTAGTAATCAATCAATGAAATAATTCATGATGAAGTCATTTAGTCTGATTAGGAAAGCTAGCCATTCAGGTATTGCGCCTCAGGAAACAAACAAATTTGATCTATATCTTCAGTTATGCATATTACCTCTTATTGCAAAAGATGTACAATATATGGACTAACGAAAATTATGACTGTCTGTTGATATACTTGTAATTCTCCGTTGTTTTATTGGATCGAATTGTTCGACCTCTATTGGCATATGAGCTTTTATGAGGATGCCTCGACATTACCTGAATGTTAATTTACTTGATTTTGGCTAGCAGAGGAATCCAAGACGCGTATTCTATCCTGTTTGAGACTAGTCAGATGAATGTAACTGCACCCCAGTGAGTGTTGTTCACACCGAGACTCCAACCTCGAACCCATCGCTGCAAACATCGAGGCGTTATCCACTACACCACGGAGGAACGACAGCCAATTCTTGTACAACGGCTATTGGTTATTACTACTTATTGATATACTTGTAATTCACCGTCGTTTTATATATCAATAAATAGTAACAACTAATACCCGTTGTACAAGAGGCGACTATTGTGCCTCCGTGGCATAGAAGACAGCGCCTTGACGTCTGAAGCTGTGGGTACAAAGTTCGAGTCTCACTGGGAACAACACTCGCTGGGGTGCAGTTACATCCAGCTGACGAGTGCCAAGTGGGGTGAAATACGTATCCGGGATTCTTCCGCTAGACACCATCAAGCAAATTACCATGATAAACAAAAATTAGTTTGCCCCTTGATTAGCGGTAATTTTAATCAGTAAAATATTCACCAATAAAATAGTCACCAACATTGAATAGTGTTCCTGAATAGATTAAATCACATATTAACAATTAATTAAAATTACTAGAAGTGAGGATAAACAATAGGTGGAGTGTGAATACGCAACAAAACTGACTGAAACATCTATCAGCCATCCAGAAATAAACAACTTACATCGATAAATCACAGGGGAATAGCTACTTTCTTGTTTCTTATGTACTAACCAATTTCTACCGATCATTTTGTGATGTGGTCATGAAACTAAAAAACTCATTATCATTGTCCACTTTGATTGATATCAGGCCGTTGTAGGAAATCGGTAAGAAGGCCTGTTGTTAACCAATAACCAATTAGTCCTTGTAAATCGATTTTTTGTCAGTCGGTACTCATCAACACCAATGACTAAAAATGGTATTGTTAGCCAACAGGTGATTAGTTCATGTGAAGAAATACTTGGAGAGTCAATATACCTTTTAACCTCTAGTTTATCTTCTTAAGATTTCCCTTTCACGTATTCAATGAAATTGTGACAGTCAATTCAAACAGTAGAACACACAAAATATTTTAAGAATTAGAATAAATATTAAGATTATACTAACCTTCTTAGGGAAGACACTTCACCAGAGGCATCTGTTGATGTTATCTACAAGAAATATGAAGATACCCAGATCAAACAAAAGGGATAAAAAGGGAGAAACGTTAAACTGTCCCAAACTTAACCAACCAAATGACCTTGAACCGTTTACAATACTACCGACCTAATAAATATATAGCTTATGATACTTATCCGTAAACTTCTGAAAATGAGAAGGAATAAAATTTTTCATATGATAGTGTTGCACTAATTATTAAGTGTTTAGAATGTTCAATCCATTTATTTGTTGCTTGAAGTTGAGTGAGTTGGGCATAGAGAAGTTATAATTTATTGGGTCTATCAATGTCCCATCTAATACAGGGACATACTGCCTGACATTTTGTTGTTCTGTGACTTAGTTCCTAATAAGTGAGACTTCATAGGCTGAATCCTAGCTGTTAAAATCCGATTTGTTGATACTAAGGCTAACCTCAAGCTTTTGAACCATAACTCCTTAGGCTCAGTGAACAAAATGGTCGTAACTTGTTGTCCATTTTTACAATTTTTGTATTTTCACCACCAAAGTTTCTTTAGTTGAATGAAAAACAAAAATTTCTATTTCTTTAGTTAGCCCACCAGAAATCATTAAATAGTTCACTCGTTTCTGATTGGTCGTTTGAAGATTATCAATTGATTAGTTCAAGCTTGTTACAATTTTTCCCTTCTACCATAAAAAAATCATCATTCATTAAGATAATCATGAAGCAAAGAGTATATCTAACAAAACTGTTCTAGGTGTGGATAAGGAGACAACATCTTGTTTGTGAACATCATCCAAAACTCATTAAAGATGGTTGAAAAAATTTCACTTAATTTGAAGTAGACAATATACAGTATTAGGTGGTGAGAAATCCCACGACTATGTATATGAGCGCAAAAATATAGTATATAAACCGCTTGTAGATGCCAGATTGATCAGTAGTCCATTGAAAGTCATGGAAAAATCAGAAAATAGGCTCATTCGAAATCGAATAAAATGTAATCAGTTATCAACCAGTTCGAGATTTTACAAGTAATTTTAGCTTGATTGTTGACACTGAAATAATTGATTTCAATAAAGTTCTAGCAATCTTCAGTAGTGTTCATCCATCCAGTAGTTTTACTCTTGAAGTTGAGTTGCAATGTAAACCTACCTTCCTAGATGTCCAACTATCAGTCATAGATCTCTTGGGAAGTCGATTTACCATAAACTTAAATAGTATGGGTAGCTAAAGAGTTTTTACGGTTTTTTACTGATGAGAAGAAAAAGAAGGGACCTCTTGTCACAAGAATTTACTGCATATACTCGAAAAACGTCGGACTGATGATGGGAATTCTTCAAAATAAGTCTGTTTGGTTCAGAATAAATAGTCGACTTCATTTTTTGATTGACGTCTGAAAAACAAGAATGATATTCTATAAAGCTTAATATTACCTAAGAAATAAGTTTTTAATGAATCTGAAATTGAAGGACGATAGAATCAGTCAAGTTCTGCAAATCCGCCTATCAGAAGAAGTTTGAAAACTATTCTTTACTCCATCCCTGTATCTCATTTTCTGCACGCAAACTCTGGTTTCTTTAAAACGTCAAAGTTAATGCCTCATTGTTGACAACATCCATATGTATATGCATATAATTTTAATTGCTCCTGTGGAAATAAGTATATAGGCTGAACCAATGAGATATTGTTATGACCTGCACAAAGATATTTACCAGAATCTTGAACACAATATTCTATAAGTTCATTTAGCATCTAAACAAAATTCATCCTATGTGTAGTGTGAACAACCCGATCAAATGAATTTCGACTACATATTCGTTGTACAGCAGAAGATCTAACTTCAAAATCAGAATCCTGGACCCTGAGTATACAATCACTTTTGCTATCATAGCTTTGGCTTCACAACTTTCTGACTTTCGCTGAATAAGTTCCACTCCAATCTACCTCCATTATCTTTGTTACAAATCTGCTCAAACCTTTCTCATATTTTTATGGATATTCCTGTTTCTCAGTCGTATCTTTGTAAAAAGCATGCACTTCAAAAATGTATGTCTGTCAAGCATTTGTTACTTAGGATCGACTTGCTAATGCCCACAGTGTACTATTCTTACCTTTGACGCTTGTCGGCATCATTCTTGATGTATTTAAACTAATCTATAAAACTATACAGATATGATGAGAAGTTAAGATGAGTTCTCTTTGTTGGTCAGTGTTCTTATAAAATTTAAATCACGCGGGTTTATTTTTATACCAATCAGTAATGTTCGCTAAAAAGATGAAGGTGGTCTAAACCACCCATTCACGACTGAGCTCATTAGCACCATATCTGGACTAATTCAATCTGCAAAGCAGAATAGTTTGTACTTGTAGTTTCTCGGCCAACGATGGGGTAACGCATGCCATCGACCAAATTCCGAACATTTTATTCCCCAAATGAAATCAAGTTAAAACTTCACAGATGAATCACGGTTATATCATTCTCATCCCAAAATATGTATTTTGCAGAGCTATGGTGTCATCGTGTCCAATTTTCCCAAGTTCTGGATATTTTTCAAACTGCTTGTTGGCTCTCACTTCGGTCTTCACAGAATCTCCATGATAATGCAGTATCAATTTGACTATCTGAGACAGCTCTGGCTAGGGACACTTGTATTATTGACACTGAATGATGATTGAAGATATAATGAAAATCTGAGTCTTAACAAGATTTAAACCAGCAGCACCTGGGTGGGTTACCTAGCCGATGCTCTACCAACTGAGTTACGATACACAGCTGTTATGTATATTCGTTTTAGGGGGCCAGCTTTATCTAATTTGAGGACCTTTAAAGCAGCTTTACTATAAGTGGGATTATCAGTTCTATGTTACATATCAACCACATTACTGTTGATCTACTATGGAGTTACGATTACAGGATCCTCTATATTTAGCAAATTGAATAATCTAATATTTTAAATATATCTTAGCTACCATTTTTTCTTCAATAAAACAGTATATGCAGGAAATAGCAACTGTTTATGAGACTTAACAGGTCTCAGGTTCGACTCTTAAAAATTGGTCAAGGGACAGAATTACTCTGCTATCCCAAACTAATGCAGAAATGTTGTCCAGTTCCCTTTAATCAGCATCGGTCGTGTTAGAAAAAAAAACAGTTTAACTGAATAAGAACATTAGTACTGGGATTACAACAATCAATTTGATTAGTTCAAGGGAAACTCAGCAAGACTAACCTGTCGTCTTTGAAGCTCTGAATAGCCCACAATATTACTGGTCAGAAATGAATCACTCATTCGATTGTCAGGGTGGAACAGTTCAGGCGATGATGAATGCACTCGATTGCTTATGTGCACATCACTTCCAAACCTTTTGAAACCAGTCAACGATGTATTCAGAAGTTCATTTTCCTTGATAATAGGAGTTTGGCGTAAAACACGAACACTTTCTACTTGTTCTGAATGATGATAAGGATGTTGTTGTTCATGACGAAGACGACGATTACGATGTGTATCCCGGTAACGATGCTGTGAGAACGAGTGAAATCCATGTTGATCCCAACTACTGTTAACATCCAGATCATCACTGTATAAATCATGATATTTCGACAGACTAGTAAAATCGACTTTCTGTCTTTTCTTCAACGAATCACTTTTATCATATGGACTGGTTACTGCATCACATACTGATGATCTGTTTAAATGTGTTCTTTGTTTAAATGCACTTTGTTCTGCATCGGTTAAGGATTTGTTTGTATCAATTAAATGATATTTATCCCCAGTTATTGATTTTTTAAATACTTCATGTTCATCAATGTTTAATTTATTTGTAGGTAGGTAAGAATCATCATCATCGGTAGTCTGTAATGATAGTGGTGATGTCGAAGGTGTCGAAAATGTCAACTTTATTTTTTCTCGTTGAATTCGATTATTCGTTGGACTGAACATATTCGAATGACTTTGAGCAATTTCATGAGAAGAAATTGCAGTTGTATTCAGTACAACCGATGTTGGGTAACGTTCAACATTCCGAAGGAACTCATGCTGATGATAAACAGGAGTGCTAACTTCATCAATAATATTATTATGTATTTTGTTTTCATCAGAACTAGAACTGATCTGATAACTGTTCGACCAGCTAGGCTTTAGTGATATTGTTGTTGGTGTTCCTAAAGTATGTACTAGTCTTGGTGACGACGAATGAGATGATGCACCACTGTTTGATTCTGAGTGGTTCTTGCATTTGACAGACACAGTGGTATGTTGGGTTAATTGATCTTGTGAATTATTCATCTGGTTTGTTGGCGATTGATTGTTTACAGCAGTTGGCTTTAGCTCACCAGGCATAATACTCTTGTCTTGACGACGATTGATAGCTGTACGGTTTACCTTGCGTATTTTTCTTTTAGTTGATACAAAATTATGCGTAACGTGGTCTTTTTCGTTCGACACAGACAAAGAGGAAGATGGCAAACTGACGTCAGAAGTGAAATCACTGTTAGCAATCTTGGTGATAGTTTTAACAAACTTACTGGTGACTAACGCTGACCCATTAGATCCTAAAGTTTGTCTGTTATCTGAATCATTTTCTGGGTGGTATGAATACAATTCACTTTTGTGTGAATCATAAACATCAGCCGAAATACTTTCATCATTTTTTATTGCTTCATTGAACACACTTGATCGAGGAAAGGAATGTTTTTTTTCTTCCGGTAATAATTCTTGATCTAACTGATCATTAGTATCTTTTCTTCCTGTCCTCTTATCAGGAAGGAAATCGATTTTTATCTGTCGTTGAGGTTGAGATAGTACATTTTTTGATCCTGTAATTGAACTATCAATATCCTTAGAATTTCTGTTACATGTAACTACTGGTTCAAGTGACTTCAAATCCGCATTGGTTGGACTTTGTAGCCAGCCTTGAAAATGTTTCTTATCTGCTTTCATGCACTTCTCTGATTTTACTGGAAGATCAAATTCAACGGCTGGCTTGATTATCTCTCGATTAAATACATCACTAGAAGTACTGTAAGCATCACTTCTACTACCTTCTTGTTTTATTTCTGTGTCTACAGTCACACAGCTTCTAGAACTTTGTTTACTGTCTTCAGGAAATGTATTCGAAATATTATGGAAACGATAAAGTTTCTTTTCACCAGCATTCACACCACTAACAGTATTTATATCTGTCACTGATGGTGAACTATCCGACTGTATGGTAATCCATGACGCTAGATCATTCGACTTGTTTGTATAAGTCATTGTTTCATGTCTTCTAACTTTCTCTTCTAAATTAGTATCTGTGATATTAGGCTTAAAATCCTTCACTGTACCGTTATCCTCAATTGAATCACTTGTTTGCAATGATCCCCTTCCCCATATAGTCCCTTGATTATCTCCGTTAATAGAAGAGTTTTGCAGCAGAACATTTAAGACATCATTCGATTTTACTTCATCATTTTCAGTTACATAAGACTTCATCTCATCAGATCCTCGTAAACAAGTCTCATGAAAACTGGGTAACAATCGTGAATTTAGAGTTGCAGATCTTAGGCAGAATGAGATGCGCGATTGATCTACACAAGGTTCACTTTCACCAGTATCTTCGCTTTTAGCTGTTTGAATTTTACTTTCTAATATCAAGCCACATGGATGTACAGCGTCAGGTACCCCTGGTGGATATATACTAGGATGTGTTTGAATATTTTCAGCAGTTTTGTCACGTGCATCTTCATTATCGGTAAAATCACCTTTGTTAGTGTTATTGTCATTAATAATGCTAGTAGTGGTGGTAGTAGTTTCAGTAGTAGTCTTCCTTCCACGTGCTTGGTCCTGGTTCTTGCACTTGTGTTTTTTAGCCTTCTTGACTTTCCTTTTTTGCACAGTAATCCACTGTGTTTGATCACTATCTCCCCCATTAAACTCCTTCAATATTTCAGCATTTTGAATACTTTTCCCATTCTTGCCACTGCTTTGTATTTGACCAGATAAGTCTTGTCCAAATGATATATGATCAGAATTGTGCACTTCTAGAGATTTCTGTGATTCCTCATCTTCATCATGCATCATACAAACGTCAGTAGTAGTAAAGACCGTAGAAGATCTGTGTGAATCATCTTTCTCTTCTGTTTTAGGCTGCAATGACTGAGTAATGTTGTCATTTGGTACAACAAGAATAGAGTGTGTTGATGATGGTGACAGTTGTCGTGGTAATAACATAGACTTTTCTTGATCAAGAAGTTCATGAGAGAATAACCTACTTTTTAAATCATCTAAATATTGATGCTTTGATGATAATGACAAAATTTCTGTTGGAAGATGTTGATAAATATGGTATGGATGGCTTTCGCCTTTTACAATTCCCGGTATACAACTATTAGACAAATAACTTTTTTCATTGTTATGTACTTCTAATTCATGCTTCATTGTTTCATCATTCTCATTTTGTATAAAGTGTATTAAACTTGTGAAGACTGACTTTAAATATTCCACTTGAATTTCATTATGTTGTATTAAACTGATGAATAATGTAAGCCAACGTGTTTGTGGTATATTTACACCCGAGTTAGAGATATTCGATGATCGCAGACATAAAAAGTCTTGTAGTCTACAATTCCAAATGTTTAGAAGATCATCCATTGATTTATATTCAGGTAAATGAATGATTTTATACTCCAAAGCAGATGATGATGGTGATGATGATTGAAATGAGTTAAGTTCCGATTTAATTTCACATATAATTGATAAATACTCTTTAATTATTGGTGACCAATAGGTAGATAAGGATGAAATTAATGAAGATGATTGTGTGAATGATTCTATGTCAATCGGTAACAGATTAGACAATCGGTTTTGTCGATTCGATAAAAGATGTGATTGCAAACTGGAAATAAGTGTATGTAAATTACTCATATGCTTGCATAAATCACACATTGAATTACAACTATCACTCTCATTATCCATATTCATAATGACGGATGTATGAAGATGACGACATTTATAAATTTGATGAAACATTCGCCTTGTGTTGGAGGTTATCATAGCAGAAGAGGGATATGTAGTTGGATATGGGGCTGAAGTGGAGGATTGCACAAAGTCTAAATTATCAGGTGGTGTAGAATGAAGCAGTGAAGTTGTCAAGTAGCTCTCTGAAGGAGTTGAACTATTTATGGTTTGAGAAGCCCTTGACTTATTTTCCGAAGATTTACGCTCAATCAAGTTTATGTTAACTGTTGTTTTCGTTGAAATTGATGTGTAACTGTCAGGTGAAACCATATCATAATCATCATGATGTTGTGAAACTTCATTTATGCCACTTACTGAATTTTTTGTCGTGCTGAAATCTGTAGAGAGACTTGGTAATTGTCGGTCTGAAGTGACAAAAGTAACTTGATGTGAATCATATTTACCTACTGGATTCGTGTTTGTATCAGTTGAACCGTTTGTATCCTCCAGTTTCACTATCTCGGTTACAGTAACTTCAAACGATGAACCTGGGATGTGGCTATTCACATAGACTTGACTGCTATCCTGTTTGTAAGCATCCAGTTCAGTTTGTGTGGTAACACCAAGACTCATCGGTTTCAATGTAGTAACACCAGGAATTTGATATGACATCTGAGTATCCGAAAGCATTTTTTCGTCAAATTTACGATTAACATCCGATCTGTTAGACTCACAATCCTCAGGCTTCAGATCAGTCTTTGAAACTGCAATAGTTGAATAAGGGTAAGGACTATAACGTAAAGTGGTGACTGTGGTACTAACGGTTATCTTGGGAGGAATTTCATCGGTGCCTATGCTAGAATGTGGTAAGTCACCTTGATTAAAATCATCAGAAATTATTTTCAGTGGTTGGTCAACTTTATTAGGCAAAAACGATTTCATCTTTTGATCATTCAGATCTAAATTATTTCTATTATCTGTTTGAATGGCATCCTTTATATCAACAGACACACTTTTTGAATTATCTTCAGCTATATTTACAGAAACCTCTAACGGTTTAGTGCCTGAATTGAGTTCATTAATCAGTGCATTGATGAGATGATCAGTGGATGAATAAGTTTGTTCATTCGATTGTGTACCTATTGTATTAGGAAGGTCTTGAGTTCTTATCATACTCGTCGTTTGGTTTGTATGATCTTTAGGAGGGGATGAAAGAAAAACAAGCGGTTGTGGTTCTAATCCCTGACCTTTCATCTCCCTCCAGGTCAAGTCACAAGACTCTACATCCAGTCGATTGCCCACTTCATCCTTAAACGAATGACAAACGTTTGAGTATTTGATACTGAATAGTCGTGTGGAATTTCTGATGCACCCTTAGAAAGTGGGGGGAGAGGTGGATGAGAAACGGTAACGTCACGAAAGGTATACTGATGTGGTTGGATATTACTACTCCGCATATCTTCGTAGATTGATTCAATAGAATTGTGATCATTTCTATTAGGTGAAAGTGACAAACTTGAAGGTGATGCAGAATCGCCAACATACTTGTTCAAGTTTTCTTGAGACTTCACAGTACCAAACCATAACTCTTCTAAAGATTTGAAGCATTCTTGTAGTTTAGTGACTTCAGGATATTCTGAGTTTAGTAATTCATCAATAAAGACCTTCAACTGTTGGTATTCTGACTGCAAAGTATAGGAGTTATGCCATCGAAGTCGACATGAATATCTAACTAGACGACTTAATTCATTCTTGGATATTGAACACATTCTTCGCTGATATGCTTGATAATGATAAGACTCATTATAATCCTTTTGTAGATAGGTATGCAAACTTATCACCTTTTTAAATATCCATTCAGTTCTGTTTTCAATATTTAGCTAGATATAAGAAAGAAAGACGGGAATATCAATAAGAAACTCAATAATAATAATAATAATAATAATAATAATAATAATAATAGTAATAATAATAATAATAATAATAATAATAATGATAATAATAATAATAATACGACCTTATGAAACAGTATGATGATGAGATTAGGAGAATGAACTCGCTTTGAAAACACACTTTTTAAAGCAGGACTCGACTTAAAAGTAATAGTGAGGTAACGCTAACATGAATAGGTCTAACTGAGAAGTTTGCCTTCAAGGACCTGACACTGCAAGTCCAAAACTCTAGTCTTTAAGGTTTCAGTTTCGATTTATGACAAACAGAATGTTGCAGACATGTCAATAAACATAAAAAAGAGGTTTGAATGAGTCACCCAGACAACTGAATTTCATAATGTACTTATATATATATATATATATATATATATATATATATATATATATATATATATATATATATATATATATATATATATATACAAGAGAAAGAGGAACAGCGATGCATTGTCAGCGAGAATCCATCATACTGCAGTAATGTCTATGGATTACATTAATTGTGGTCTACCATATCACGGATCAGTAGCATACAATAACGTACTTGAAGTGAAACCTGACTATTCCTTTGACGCCTGATGATGTTCTGAGTGAGCACTGCTACTGGGTGTTAAATTACCACGTATTTAACGACTTAGTGGGCATTAGGCATTATTATTGTTATTATTATTAAGATTGTCATTATTATTACTGATATTTGTCCTTAAGTTCTTAGTGGAACATTGGGCTTCAGAAGAACGTCACCATTTCATTTTCTTCTCCGCAACCATTTCAACCTGGCTCCACCACTGCCCAGAAGTTCTCATTTCTTCCTCATACCATCTCCTCCATGTCACCCTCACATCGGACGCCCAACTCGTCGTTTCCCCTTTCAATTCCACTCAACGGCCTGACGCGTGATGTCCACAAATGGTCCTCTCAATCATCACATACAAGCACTGACTGACTTGACTGAATTGCTGTTGAAAATCCCGATCTTGTCCCCACTTCATGCTGAATTCAGTAGATCCTCACACTGATTTCAGATTGACGAAGGCCTGTCTTACTGTCTTTCCAATCCTGGCTGCTTCGACATCCTCATCTGTGCCGCCGTAGTCGTAGTCGTAGCCGCCTGTAGTTGAAACGATGCTGCCTAGGTAGGTGGGTAGGTGGAAGGGACAACTTCCTTTACATTTCTCCAGTTCATCGTGATTGGTGCTCCTCGTTGTTGTTGTTGTTGTTGGTGGTGGTGGTGGTGTTGTCGTTGTTGTTGGTTAGGTATCTCCATCACCTCTACCTCTGTCTTCTCTACATTCACTTGAAGTCACGTCTTCGCTGCTCTGCCCTGACCTGCCCTGACCTGCCTCACCTCACCTCACCTCCTCTGTCAACTTCTTGACTTTTGCCTGTACATCTTCGAGTTTGTGCAACAGGACATTAGACAGAAATCATCATCATCATCATCATCATCATCGTTGACGAAATCCAAATCTTCTCCTGGGGTCTTTTCATCGGTCCACCCAGCCACCCAGCGTATTCGCATCCTTTCGCTCATCACACTTTGTTGCATAATCTAGTCCAATCCAATCCAATCCAGTCCAGTCCACTCCAGTCCATCACAATCAGGAAGATCATCGGTGATAGTAGGTGGCAACCTTGTCTCACTCCTTCCTGTCTTCACTTCAAAGGCGTCACTGAGCTGAGCTTTCCATTGTGAATCACTTGGCATGTAGCATCCTCACATAGCATAGCATATAGCTGCTGTTGAATGAGGTTGAAAAAGGTTCGTGGCACTAAAACCGTATTGTTGAAACAGCTGCCTGCCAAATTAATTCTTGGTTGACGCTGTCGAAAGCCTTTCAAAGTCGATGAAGCTGAGGTAGAGAGTTGACTGCCATTCCATACTCTTCTGTATGATAATGCATAGCGCATAGCGTAGCGTCGCAGTTTGATCCACACATGATTTGTTCTTCGTGAAACCAGCTAGCCTGTTCCGGTAGTAACTTTGAATGCAGGGTATTTTTCAGTCTCTCCATGATGATGCGGCCTAATATTTTGCTTGCTTTGGTGGACAGGAGCATGATTTCACGCCAGTTTTTGCAAAGACTAGGTCACCCTTTTTTGGGAGTTTGACAAGATAGCCTTTGGTGCAGTCGGCAGGTACCTTCTCTTCCTCTCACCCAAACCTTCTTCAATAGTGGTGTCAGCATATCCGCTGTTGTCTCTACGTCCATTTTCAGTGGTTCTGGAGGAAGTCCATATCATCCTCCTGCTTCCCCGAAATTCAACAACCTTTCTGGTGCTCAGGCCTTCGGATTTTGTCGGAGGGCTAATATTCACTGATAGTTCTGTAGCTGCGTTGCTGATGGTATTTCTGGACGAGTTGCACGTGGTGATGGTGGTGGTGGTGGTCGACTCAAGAGTTCTTCGAAGTGGTCAGACAATCATTTCCTTTGTTTCTCCTCTTTGGTAACTTAATTTCTTTCACTATCTCTCATCGGTTAGGGTTAGGGTTGATCTCTTCCCTCCCAGATAGTAACCTGGCTGTTCGGTATAATATTATCAGATTTCTCCTACCTGCGGCCTGTTCTGCTTCAATTGCAAGTGTGTCGTAGAAGTGTCTTTTGTCTTTCCACGCACTCTTCTTGACTTCTTTGCTCAGTGTAGTCTTTTGCAGGTTGCATTCAGTTCCCCTTTTCGTTGTTCATCACTGCACTGCACTGGTTCATATTCTGCTTCACCGTCTTCCTCTGCATCCTCAATCAGCTTCATTGTGTCCGTCAAGACCCATTCCTTGTCTTGCCTCTTCTTCTTTCCTAACTCGGTGATGCAGGTTTCCTACCATGTCGCTTTCATAGAGTTCCAGTGTTCTTCCACACAGCTTCCTTCAGGAATACTGCTTAATGTCTCCCATTTTTTCCTGACGACTGACATGAAGATGTCATTTATAGTTTCATCCTTCAGTTTCTGTCCTAGGTGTTAAACTTGAAGTGTCGCCTATCACCAACTTCTTACAAGGCTTTCAACTTGATTTGGAAGGTTCCTTGCACTAGATACTGAGTGGTGTGAACCTACATCTGCCCCACTTCGGGACCTGATCTTGTATCCACTTTCTTCAGATTGAAATGAAGTCAGTCTGATTTTTAGTGTAGTGTCCTGGATTCTGGTGAAATCAAATCCATGTCGCTTTGTGAATACCCTTATGTTTGTACACACTACCTCCAATCACCAAATCATTGAAGGCGCAGAAGTCTGTAAATACTTCTCCATTCTCATTCGTCATTTCACCGACTGCCTCTCGACCCATGATTGGTCCTCTTCCTGTGTGGTCCGCTCCCAGTTTGGCATTCATGTCATCTATAAGAATGAATTTCGATGTCGCCATCTGGGGTGGTATCTTGTCCAGTACTGATTGAAGTTGTCAGAAGAATTCCTACTTCTCCTCTTGATCCGCATTATTTGTAGGAGCGTAGCGTAGCATTGTATGATTGCGACTTTCCTTCCTTTTGAGTCGAATCATCCTGTCATTGTCTTGGTCCTGCAGGAGATTGGTTTCCACTGTCTGAGAGACTTAGATATTCTTGGGAGACGGACATCATGATAGACATTCGAGAACTCAATATGCTCATGGTTGTCGTCTGGGTGACAATATTGGAGTAGATTATTGACTCCTCTCCAGTTGACAGTTTGGAGAGTCCACTTCCATTCCATCTGCAGATTCCCAGCCTAGCACTTCTATGCTACATCTTCTCATCTCTTTTGGAATCTGGACAGCCTTGTCAGCCAGCTTCAAACATTGTGCGGACATTCCATGTCCCCATGCTTACTTTTGGTTTCATCGAGTGAAGAGAAGACACACTGACCAACTGGCTCCCTGAAGGCTTTCATCTCGTCTCTCTGATTCCAGCGATAAACAGGTTTATTTTTATTTCTTATATTTTCTTTGTGCTTTGAAGTTTCTTTAGTGATTAGATTGGTTATGCGGAGTAGGGTTGCTATCCCTGTGCCCAACCTTCCCTCTTTATCTGGACTTAGGACTGGCTAGTAACTAGTGAACTAGTAAACTAGGCGAGGTTGGCCATTACGCATGCATGAATTAAAAATGCCGTATAGTCACCGAACAGTCTTGGGATAATTTGTGATAAATTTTACACTACTGATAAGTCTTTATAAAAAGAACACTGGCATACTTCGTGGCCAATTTGATTTGCCTCAATTAGCAAAAGGAACGATGGTAAACTCGTAAAATCAGTTCGAAATGATTGTGCAAATACTTGTAATACTTGTGGCCGTGTGTGTTTGTCTTTTACGAATTGCAGCCTGATATCAACTTCGAAAACCTTTCGCTGTAGAAATGACGTGAACTATGCATATTTATCCCTGAAAATCCACTTTATCTATTTACATAATATGAGTTATATAAAAGACATGACATGAGTTATTTAAATGAATTAAAGTGGTCACTATCAGTTTCTCTATTGCTAGGACATGGTGTGGTCTCCCAGACCATCACAATAATCGATTCTGGGTGTAGTTCGAAAATCTGTAAGTCTAATACAATAGCTGAGGACAAAGAATCTGTATGAAAGCATCCATTCGCTAACTTTTCACTTCAACTACTTTAAATAGCCAAAATTTCAAGATAAGGGTTTGTTTTCATTTCACATGATCTCTGCTAAATGATTAGAAACCGGAACGCAAATATTTCAGATGATAGTGTGTTATCCAGTGAATAACTTCAAGATTGTAGTTGATTCCAGAAATTTTCAAATATATATCCTTACCGAAAATATGAAAATATCCCCATTCATGATTGAAATTATAGCGTACAAACTAAAGGTTACAAACTCCTAGCTATGTTAAGTGTGTTACTGTTTTTAGAAACTCTTCATACTACTGATAAGCAGCTAAAATCGGATGCAAAAATAGGTTGGGTTTTATATATCCAAGTAACTTCAGCAAGACAGTGAAAATCACAATTAAGGTCAAGTAAATAATTACATGGTTTTGTAGCAATAATTTGTAACACTTCGTTTTGTCTATGTCCGAATTGTATCATATACTAGCTAGGAGAAATTATATCTCATTACGTGTTGTGGTTATAGTTAATTTTAACTCATCCATACGTTCTTCTGGAGATATGCTAGATGTATGCATTTAACTATTACCTTGTTCTTTAGTAGTATCCAGTGGTCAAGCATATTACTGTCTACAAGTTGCCTTAATTTCACTTAGTAGATAATCTCTAAACTTTATTCCCTACAGCTTGGATAAGATATTGGTCGGCTAGGTTGCAATTCGATTCTACGCCTGATGATATAGCACTATTTACTCGATGGTGATTCACACCACACACAAAGAATGTTCTTGAGTACAACAAACTATTCAGATGTGACCATATTATGAAGTGAGAATAGTGGTGTCATTCTTATTAACTTTGAGAAACTAACTCCGTTTACAAGTGTGTTGGTATTTTTCTTATAGTTAGACATGAAAGGCAGATAGTCAAGGCAACTGTTGAAGTTTTAAAAGATACTGAATGAAATGACAAACTATGCATCGGACTGTCGTTCTTGCAACCTAACAGCCCCAAACTCTTACTATGAATTCACCGATAAATGTATCCAACTCAGTAAAGTTTCATTTCAGCTATTAGTAATTATCTTTGCAGTATTTTATTCCTTAAGAAGGACTGATGTTGAAACGCCAAGTCTTCAACAGGACGTTGGAAAACACTCCCGAAGCAAAAAACAGCTGTAGAAAGACAAGTTTCTGGAACAAGTAATGACTTACATATAACGGAAACTAAACTGTAAATGGATTTTTATGAATTTAACTTGCCTATTTTTAATATCAATCTTGGGATACTGGTGAGTAAGACAATCTAAATCTCTTTTTATAATGACAGTAATGATTTAATTTGAAACATGAATCTGAGTTCTAGCAAGATTGCATCACTGGCCTCCATGATCAAAGTTTTCGTTTCAACAACAGTCATCGAGTCATTATCACATTATATCCATCCTATCATATCAGAGATATTTCAGTTTTCCTCATCAAAAAATGACTCTCTCATTTAGCCAGCCAACATTCCAATTAATTAGGAAGTTTATGACAATAATGAGCAAAAGGAAGAATTTTTCTCCTGTAATTGTAAACTTATCTACAACACTTACCTGCTTTTCAGATTGATGTCCATGCATAGATAAGCATTCGTCTCTAGAGGCTTTACAATCAGGATAAACACACATATGTGATCCAAGTGCATCACGTAGGTTAGTTTGTCTACGACGCAGCTTCTCTGCACTTATGATATTACGTGGAGCAGACTCAATAACTGCTTCATTATCATCTCGATTCCACTTAGCCGTTCGTTTCGTTTCATCTTTTATCAACCTACTTCTCAGCTGTGTCGGCATATTTGACTGAGACTGCATTGAAGAGTAATGATGAATTAGGTGAGGAGAAGGACGTGGAGGTAGCAACGGTGGTGAAATCGGTACTCCACAGTTATCCAATGTTGGGTTGGTTTGTGGATATCTCAATGGTGATGGGGAGACATTATTTATCTTAATGGCAAGAAATGAAGAAGGAATGTTTTTAAGCGTGCACATTAAACAAACAAAAAGACAAGCCAAATTTGTACAGTCTATTTAACTAGGTGACAACATACTCGCAAATCAGGTCTTTAGAAGAAAGTGGTAACGCATCTATTATTTTGGAGAAAAGAAAGTGAAGTGCGAATGTTTGTCATTTCAGTGCTTGGATGAGTGTCAAATACAAGAGAATATCGACACATAATCTGTTCAGCTTCTTTGGAAATCCCGACCAATGCATGGCATACAAATTACCTTTTCATATTCACATCAATCAGCTTAAGTACCTTATCGACCAGACTTAGTCATGATAGCGTCTAAAGTACCCTTTTTCACCTGATATAAATATTTCAAGAATTTCAATTCTAATCCATCTTTCTTAAGTCCCTAGTTTCATTGAAAATCAATGTCTAAAAATTAACGGTGACAGAGATCAACTTCTTCCTCAAAATCTGGAGCTTCTCAGAACTTCGTTCTTTTCTGTTTTGATTCTATTTCGCATTCTCCTTCTTGCTTGTGCTAATTAATAACATGTTTACTTTTATTAGTTTGCTGCTGTAAAACTTGACAACTTGGACGGTTTCACTTTTTTGTGAAATACTCCATCATATGTCCGTATCTATGCACAATGGTTCCGCATTCCTTAGTACGATAACAGTTTGTAGTCTCCATACTACACGCTTAACTGAAGCATAATACTAGAGCCACTACTCACTTCATGTCTATTTAAAAGCGACTGGTACTTTAATATACTGTAAATACTATTGTTATTTGAGTGGTTGCCTATGCTTACCTCCTGAATTACAATGTTTTCCTATTGATCGTATTTCCTTTCAACAAGCACTACGTTAAATATGCTAGATAGTTTGTCAGAGTTATCCTTTGGTTTATCATGCTCCACTTTATCAGTAACCTAGTTGCTATTCTCTGACGATAGCCTCAGTGGAAATCCGTCTGGTAGGAAGATATGGAAGTCCATCTTCCTAATATGTAGGTTTTAGGCGGTTCAAAGATTAGGTGACCCTTTGAGGTAATCCATCGGTGGTGTTCAGTAAACTCCCAGCACAACCAGTTATAAGATGTCCGAGCCATGGATTAATTGGTGTGCACTGCTGAGAAATCCCATACTAGGTAGAAAGCGTTTATAAGCACTCCAAAGTTTTCAGTGATTCTCCAATTGATGTCAGTCACCGATGAATACCAGCTTGAAATCAATGAACCTCCAAAAATCTCCGAATTCTGTGGTAAAACAATTTTGAGAATAGTTGAGGATAATGATGAATAGTGGTTAGTCGAAAATGCAGTGACTAACTTTTTCACTGTAGAACGTCAATATTGTTTTCATGTTTTTCTCTTATAAATCATTCTAACGTGATATATGAATGGACAGATAACACTATTACATGATATAATTTTGCTGGACAAATGATACTACTTATGAGTAAAATAAAAGTATTGACGAAATCTCAAAGCGCGTTCAGTCATGGTTACAGTGTTGCAAACATTTGATGGAAGCTCTATTCAATAAGTAAATCCACAACAATGTACGTAGTTGATGACTGAGATTGGACGGGGGCCTAAATTATGACAAAATCTAAATAATCTGTCTATTGGTGAATATAAGTATAGAATTTGGGAACTATTGTAGGATATAATCCCACATAAATTCATTTGATTGGTCATACACTAATATAGTTACTATTTACTAGATGACTTTCCGAGCAGATCATATCAATGTGTGATATGATTATGAGCAATAAATTCTATAACATGAAATAGAATAACTTAATATGCCTGTTTGCTTATTATTTATTATTATTAGTCCCTTGGGTTCCTAATGGAACATAGGGCTTCAGTAGCACATCTCCATTCCACTCTGTTCTCTGGAATCTTTTGAACCTGGCTCCAAAACAGCCCACAACCTCTCATTTCATCCTCGCAAGATCTCCTCCATGCCACCCTCGCTTCGCACGCCCAACTCGTCGCTTCCTACGGGGATTCCACTCGAGAGCCTGGACTGGCGCGTCAAGTCCTCAAACCGTCTTCTCAGTGTACATCCATCCAATCTATCTCCACTTTCGTCTTCTGCATACTTGTTGAGCGATAGCTTCTTGGTTGGTTCGCTGCCAGCCACAGTGACTTCCCTGTTGCTTATTCTTTCTAGTCATCTGAGCTTGAGTAACGAGCCAGCGTAGGCAGTCGTTGATGAATATCTGTAGTTTGTTGGAAGTGCCTTCCGAAACGCGCCAAGTCTCTGAGCCATACAGAAGCACTGACTTGACTGGGTTGGTGTTGAAAATCCGTATGTTGTTCACGCTTTATGCTGAGTGCAGTGCAGTAGATCTCCAGACTGGTTTCAGGCTAATGAACGCCTGTCCTGTTGTCTTTCCGATCCTGGTTGGCTTTGATGTCCTCGTGTGTGCCTGTGCCACCTGTAGTTGAGACAGTACTGCCTAGAAAGGTGAAAGAGGCTGCTTCCTTTAAGTTTCTCCCATTGATGGTGATTGGAGCTTGTTGTTGTTGGTGGTGGTGACGTTGGTTGGGTATCTTCATCACCTCTACCTCTGTCTTCTTTATATTCACCTGAAGTCCCGTCTTCGCTGTCTCGCCTCTTCTGCCAACTTGTTAGTTTTCGCCTGTAGGTCTTCAAGTTTGTGTGACATCAGGCACAAGTCATCACTGGCGAAATCCAGATTTTCTAGGTTCTTTTCCTCAGTCCAGCCAGTGTATCCCCCTCTTCTCGCTCACCACTGTTTGCTGCATGATCCAGTCCACCACAATCAGGAATATCATGGAGGATAGTAGGCAACCTTGTTTCACTCCTGTCTTCACTTCACTGCAAAGGCATCACTGAGCTTCCCATTGTGAATTACTTGGCATGTAGCATCTTCATATAGTTGTTGAATGAGGCTGATAAAGGTTTGTGGTATTCCGTAGTATTGAAGCAGTTTCCAAATTACTTCTCGGTCGACGCTGTCAAAGGCCTTCTCAAAGTGGATGAAGTTGAGGTGTAGAGTTGACTGCCATTCTATACTCTGTTCTCTGATGGTGCGACGGGTTGCAATTTGGTCCGCACATGATTTGTACTTCCTGAAGCCTGCCTGTTCCGGTCGTAGTTTTGAATCCAGTGCATCCCTTAGCCTCTCCAGGATGATGCGGCTTAATATTTTACTTGGGGTGGACAGGAGAGTGATTCCGCGCCAGTTCTTGCAAGCACTGAGGTCTCCCTTCTTCGGCAGTTTGACAAGGTAACCCTTCTTCCAATCGTCAGGTACCTTCTCTTACTTCCACACCTTCTGCAATAGTGGTGTGAGCATGTCCACTGTTGTCTCTGCGTCTGTTCTCAGTGCTTCTGGTGGGATCCCATCTGGTCCTGCTGCTTTCCCGCATTTCAGTAGCTTTATGGCGTTCAGGACTTCGACTTTTGTTGGAGGATTTATGTTGACTTGTAGTTCAGTGGCTGTAGGTGGTTGCCTGTTTTTTACTTGTTCAAAACTGCTTTGAATTATCAATTACATTTAACCGTGATAATTGTCAAATAAGCTGGAAAAGTAAGTCTAAGTGCTTTCTGACCAATACTTCCAACAACATAATTAAATAACCTATCTTTTGCTCTTCTTGTAACACAACTAAAAAAACAAACAGTGAGCATAAGGATCAAATTCTCAGTGCAATAGACATTGTATAAAAAAGGAATTCAACAAAATAGTAAGTGGAGGATCTCAAATTTATCACCAAAGATGTTAGGATGAATTTACATGTTACTGTACTTTGCACTGATCAAAATCATTCCATCCCGTCAGCTGTCCTTAAAGGCATAGTGAAAGTCACCTCTAACAGGGTTCTGCACAAGTGAAATAACTAACAGTGCATTCGTACTAATTCTGGTTACGGAGTTGAACGCTTCAAAAACCAACCTGATTCGGTTCAGTTAATTAATTCGACTGATGATAAACAGGATCTAAGTACATCTTGGTTCGCTCGAATAGCTATTTCCAATTCGAATAGTTCGAACATTTTGTCAAAATACTATTTTCAAAAAAACTAATCCTCTAATGAAACTCATTTAAAATACACAAGAAAATAAACACATAAATATTTACTGAAAAGTTTACTGATAGTTCTTATTATATAAGTTATAGAACGGCAGTCAACTCTCTACCTCAACTTCATCGACTTTGAAAGGCTTTCGACAGCGTCAAACGAGAATTAATTTGGCAGGCAGCTGTTTCAACAATACGGTTTTAGTGCCACGAACCTTTTTCAACCTCATTCAACAGCAGCTATATGCTATGCTATGTGAGGATGCTACATGCCAAGTGATTCACAATGGGAAAGCTCAGCTCAGTGACACCTTTGAAGTGAAGACAGGAAGGAGTGAGACAAGGTTGCCACCTACTATCACCGATGATCTTCCTGATTGTGATGGACTGGAGTGGACTGGATTGGATTGAACTAGATTATGCAGAAAAGTGTGATGAGCGAAAGGATGCGAATACGCTGGGTGGCTGGGTGGACCGATGAAAAGACCCCAGGAGAAGATTTGGATTTCGTCAACGATGATGATGATGATGATTTCTGTCTAATGTCCTGTTGCACAAACTCGAAGATGTACAGGCAAAAGTCAAGAAGTTGACAGAGGAGGTGAGGTGAGGTGAGGCAGGTCAGGGCAGGTCAGGGCAGGGCAGCGAAGACGTGACTTCAAGTGAATGTAGAGAAGACAGAGGTAGAGGTGATGGAGATACCTAACCAACAACAACAACAACGAGGAGCACCAATCACGATGAACTGGAGAAATGTAAAGGAAGTTGTCCCTTCCACCTACCCACCTACCTAGGCAGCATCGTTTCAACTACAGGCGGCTACGACTACGACTACGGCGGCACAGATGAGGATGTCGAAGCAGCCAGGATTGGAAAGACAGTAAGACAGGCCTTCGTCAATCTGAAATCAGTGTGAGGATCTACTGCATTCAGCATGAAGTGGGGACAAGATCGGGATTTTCAACAGCAATTCAGTCAAGTCAGTCAGTGCTTGTATGTGATGATTGAGAAGACCATTTGTGGACATCACGCGTCAGGCCGTTGAGTGGAATTGAAAGGGGAAACGACGAGTTGGGCGTCCGATGTGAGGGTGACATGGAGGAGATGGTATGAGGAAGAAATGAGAACTTCTGGGCAGTGGTGGAGCCAGGTTGAAATGATTGCGGAGAAGAAAATGAAATGGTGACGTTCTTCTGAAGCCCTATGTTCGACTACGAACCCAAGGGAAAAATAATAATTATTATTATTATTATTTAAGTTACGTAAGACGCTGCTATATCACAAAGTAAAACCAACAATTAAGTTTCTCTTACCCGTAGCTCTGTTTCGTTTTCTTGAGTAGGTCTAACAGGTAACCTGAATTACAGAAGACAACAACACATGTACATATTAACTTAATAGTGTGTAGGAGGGATGTTCATGATCAAAAATTGGCTAGATATTTTGCAATATATTAGGATAAAGTGTGAAGCATTTAAGCATCATTCACAATAGAGTCACTAACCTTCATATGGTGAATAATTTTAATAGAGTCTCAGTTGTAATAATTTCAGTAAGTAGATGGAAATAGTTATGAGGTTGGTTTGTTAAATGTTAAGATATGGTTATTCAGTACTAAGATTACAACCAACCTGAACACAGCAGATCCTCTAAAACTCTATGGATGGCATATTGCCATGTATGTCATTGATTAGTGCACACAGCATGTTATTTATTTTGCAGTCTAATTCCTTACTTGAGAAGTAAAGTAATTAACTTGATTACTCTTACATGAACTGATTTAAATTAGTTTGCAAGTATTGCTATTTTTACATTTTGATCCGAATACTCTTGTAATAATGGTACGTTTGACAGTCGGCCTGTTCAGCATTCATCTCATTCAGTTGTCAGGTGTATAAAACGCATTTAAGAGTTTTAAAAATTCCCATCATGTAAATTAGAACAAGACATATAAGCGAACAATAATGTTTTCAATTAGATCCTCTTCAGGCTTAACTCTAATACAAATAGCTTAATATATGTAAAATCAAACCAGTCATGTAGATTTGACGGTTGATGTGATGTTTCATATATCAATTTATTAATTTCATTATTACTATTTGTATTATTATCTCCATCGTTGTATGAAACATTTATCATATCAACTGTCAAATCTACACGATTAATTTATTTTTATATATATAAAGCTATTTGTATTAGAGTTAAGCCTGAAGAGGATCTAATTGAAAACAATATTGTTCGCCTGTATGTCTTGTTCTAAAAAGCATTTCTCAGTTATTTCATAAAAACACAGACAAATAGCTTTCAACACCTTATTAAACCTATAACAGACTTTAGTATCATTCAGAGCAAAAACCAACTAGGTAGAGATGAAGCTTGAACAAGGAACTAATGAAAAGCTTATTTGATATGATCCTGATGTAAATGATTCGCCTTGCATTTCTCCAAACTGTTACTGAGTATCAGTAAGCAGTTACAGTTAGAAAGAGAAATGCTTTTCTGGTATTGAAATAGAATCGAAATATATACAATGGACGGTTTAAAAAGATACTTAAGACCGATATATCGTAAATGAATCCAGTATGTGCTAGCTGGGTGTAGTTTGATCATTTTACCTAATAGGTTTCAGCAGCTATAATACATACTTAAATCTCTTACTCAACATGCTGTTATGATACTTGTAATTTCCAGTTTCTATTCAAAGCCGAATTGTTCGACATCTTTTAGCAGTTGACGTCACAGATGTCGAAGATATACAGGCAAAATCCAACAAGTTGACAGAAGAGGCAAGGCAGGACAGCAAAGACGCGAATTCAAGTGAACGTAGAGATGACAGAGGTGATGATGATACCCAACCAACGCCACTATCACCACCACCACCACCACCAACAACAACAACAACAACAACAAGCTCCAATCACCATCAATGGGAGAAACTTAAAGGAAGCAGCCTCTTTCACCTTTCTAGGCAGTACTGTCTCAACTACAGGTGGCACAGGCACACACGAGGACATCAAAGCCAACCAGGATCGGAAAGACAACAGGACAGGCGTTCATTAGCCTGAAACCAGTCTGGAGATCTACTGCACTGCACTCAGCATAAAGCGTGAACAACATACGGATTTTCAACACCAACCCAGTCAAGTCAGTGCTTCTGTATGGCTCAGAGACTTGGCGCGTTTCGGAAGGCACTTCCAACAAACTACAGATATTCATCAACGACTGCCTACGCTGGCTCGTTACTCAAGCTCAGATGACTAGAAAGAATAAGCAACAGGGAAGTCACTGTGGCTGGCAGCGAACCAACCAAGAAGCTATCGCTCAACAAGTATGCAGAAGACGAAAGTGGAGATAGATTGGATGGATGTACACTGAGAAGACGGTTTGAGGACTTGACGCGCCAGTCCAGACACTGGAGTGGAACCCTTGTGGGAAACGGCAAGTTGGGCGTCCGAGATGAGGGTGACATCGAGGGGATGGTGTGAGGAAGGAATAACAGCTTCCAGGTAGTGGTGGAGCCAGGTTTATAGGTTTGCAGAGAACAGAGTGAAATGGTGACGTTCTACTGAAGCCCTGTGTTCTACTAGGAACTCAAGGGACAAATAATAATAATAATTTTAGCAGATGAACTCCTACGTGGATGTCTCAATACTTTTGATTATTCATGGTGTTATTTTGGCCTTAGTGACTAGCGGAGGAATCCAGGATAAGCGTTTCGTCTTATTCGGGACTCGTCTGTTGGATGTACTTGCACCTCAGTGAGTGGAGTTGCTCCCACCCGGGGTTCAAACCCATCACCCTTCACTCCAAATGCCAGAGCGTTATCGTGCTAGTCATCAGGACCAATCTTTTACTCAGCATGTTTTATTTCAACTTTGACTATCGTTTGGTATCCATGTGAAAATTGAAATAAATGACTAATAACTAGTCGATATGCTTGAAATATGGAAGCAGTAATATTGATTCATCTCCATCTTACTTTCATATTAGAAACCCCATTGTTTGTTACTGCTTCTATTACACTTTTTCTTCTGCAGTTAGTTTCCCTAAATACTGCTAACATTAATACTGTTCATTTATCTATATTCCTTTGCATTGCTTTCAGCTATTTATCCATAAAATGATTTTACTGCCACTCAAAAAATTAGCAACCAAATGGTATGAATTTATGTTTTAAATGGTAGTATCACACTTATTTCACAAGTAGTTATCTCAGAGTCTTTCCCGAAATTTTCTATTCTGATGTAACAATCTTCATGAAGTTTGATAGACTTTCATCTATGTATCTACAGAGTCAACCAGATATAAAGTTCAAACCTATTGCTATAATCTCTCTCTTTTTTTTTGAAAATGATTGAGAAATTACTTCTAGCTGTCTTTGAATCTTTGTTAAAAGCTTCCAAAGATGTTAAACAATCTGGTTAGGAACATATTAGAAGTACTTTGGATACTTCCAGTGTTATGAATTATAATATTATTTTCAGTCTAAACAAATTTGCCAGGTACGTTTTATGTACCTTCTTAGATTATACATCCACCTTTGACTCTGCTCCTAGACCTTTTCTTTAAAATAAGCTAGGTCATTACACATATTTAACCCTAGGTCATACAAACTGGCTACATCCTTATTTTTCTAGAAAGAAATAATAAACTACTTATGAAGAAAAAGGCTACAATTCATTGCCGGTGTACCTTAAAATGTAGTACTATTGTAGAGGGTGCTACTGATGAAAAAGGATATAAGTAGTTGTAAGAAAACGTTAAAGGATGAGAAGCAGGAGAATGTTTATTATGACATTTTGTACACTACTGATGAAATATTGTATGCATTCCATTAAAATAATCGTTCACACAATGTTTCGTTTCCTATTCTTCTTCGTCTTCTATCTCATTTTGCTCTTTATTACGTCCACATTGTCTCTTGCATTTCTCTGATCAGAATATCTACCCGTCGCCCATAATCCCCTACTGAGTTTTTCTTCTAATCTTTCTTGATAGTATCATATCTTGTTTACTTCAGGGAGAATCTTTCATTCAACATATTATATGAAGAAGCTGAGACTTTCTGGCATAAGTTAGCCTCTATTTTTGCTGTTGATTAGTTCCTGTGTTTTACCTATTCTTTCTTATTGTTTCCCGTTAATCTTTGCTAGCCTGCCAAAAAGGGACTTCATTATATTGTATAGGGCTTTTAATGCAATCAGTAGGGTCACAGGTGTGCCTCTGACTCGGCTGATCAACGTCATAGTAGACAGACATTTCGATTCATACTGGTTACTAGTTACGGTTATTTTGTTGGATGCTGAGAATCCTCTTTATTTATATCTTTCTCCTTGTATTTCCTCAAGGAAGACAATTACCAACTACATAAAACCTTATTTTGAGGTAGTATTCACCACGGACTGTTATAAGTTGGGAAACCATTGAAAACCTTGGGGCACTGGACAGCCATTTCGTCCTAGTAATGGATTCCTCAGTAGTACACGCCCACGATCCGGCTAGGGATCAAACTCAGGACCTTCAGGTTTAACAGCGAACGCGTTCATGTGGCTAAATACAAAATTTCAACTGTGATGTATCCTGTATATATCTTATGTTGGTAAAAAGGCGTTTGATTCGAACTTATTCATCAATTTTGGGACAATAAATAAACAGCCATCTCAAACTGTTAACTATTCATGTATTATTGTCTTTATTACTAATATTATTTGCATAATTTATTGCCTACAATAAGTGCTGTTGGAAACGTTGTAAAGAAGTTAATTTTTGTTACAAGATTACATGCTCAGAATTGCAAATAGTATCAAAAATAGTGTTTGAAATAAATTATTACTGTTATCATTATTACTAATATTATATCGTCTGCCTACTTTAGGGACAGTTACTATAAGTGTAATCCATACATAACAGTGACATACCCAGCTTGTATTCGGCCAAGACGATCACCTAACTGTGTTAACTTCACCCATGCTGTACGCAGTTTAATAGCTACCAGAGAATTTTCAAACTCTGTCTGTATGAGTTGACCACGCTTTTTTGTAATCTCTTGACTAGAATCATGTTTACCAGATGTCGATGACAATGGTGAAGACCAAAATCGAGGCTCAAGTTCAAAGAACACAAGAATACTGGCAGCTTCACGACTATGCTCCAAACACGTTTCCAACTCCATTAATCGCTGACCAGCATGCTATCAAAAAGACGAAAATAAAGCATAAAAAAGCATGATTAACATACGATTTGATGACATCAAACAGAATATGACTAAACCGCCTGGTGCCATAAGCAATCAATGAATACATAAGAATGTTGGCAATATTCCAAAAACAAGGATTAAATTGCAAAATCTGTCTTCAAAATTCTTATAATCATTTTGAAAATCTTTGCTTGTAAAACATAACCAAAGAGAAAGCGTACATCTAGTCAAGTCTACGCTTCGAATACGTGATGTGATGAGCTGAAATCACCTAGCATTAAAATTTTCCTTTGATTTTCTTGACAGTCGTGTACTGTTGCTTAATTTTAACCGAATCTGCGCACACTGAATGAAGTTTACGAACTACTTTTTCATATGCACGTCACCAATTAATCGATTCTTTCCAAGAGGAAAGCTTTTAGCACAAAAGTGACACAAAACGCTTATGTCAAAACTTCCTTGTCAAAAGATAAATCAAGATGAAATGAAAATGCTGAGGTAAATTGAACAGGTTCCAAATTGAAGAGGAAGCATGAAGTAAATTCATCAACAAGTTATGTTTCCATTATTTTGAGTACTTTGAACTATTCAAGCAAGATATAATGGAGTAATAAATGTTGCTTATCAGTAGACTGCTGACTATTGTCACGCCATAAGTCAATAACAATCCAGCCTTCTCATACCGATTCTTTGGTTCAATGCAAGAATTGACAGTATTTGTTAACCAAACTACTTATAAAGTAGTTTTCTGAATACAAAAAAAACAGTGCAGTGGGACCGTATAAAATAAAACTAGAGGTAAATACAAGCAAGGGTAGTAAAGTATGCAGTGATGGCATATTCTCTGCAGGTTTCTTATTCAGGATGAGAAACACCATACATGAGTGAGCATCACTGTAAACAAATCTATCCTCAAACAATTATGACTTATAAAGTACGAAGACAAAATTCACTATGAAGATCAAAAAAGAAAATTCCATGACTGATCTCAGGACGACATAAATAGCGAGCCCCAGTTTTGCAGCTTAACACAAAAACGTTGATATCGATCCAAAATAAGTGAGACACAAAGAGGATGTTAATTCCTAACCTACCTTGTTCTCGTTTATTCTACAATGCTATTCTGAAGTTCCTTTAATGCCTTCAGCTTTATACTACTTAGTATTATTAAGTAGTATAATTCATATATCAAAACTTTGTGCATTGTGGAATGGATTTTTAATTCAAAGTTTACAAGCAATAATAAGTTATTATTTTGGTAATACTTCGAATGAATATTGAAATATATTAGAAAATCTAACATTGAATGAGTCCAGCAGGATGAAAAACAAAAGATTCAAAATGTAAATCGAAATATAAATCATCTGTTTATAAAAAACACTAAAGACATTGAAAGTTTTTCTAATAGAGCATGGACTGAATAGGAGGTATTGGACAAGAAAAAATAGTGCTGTATAAAATGCTTGCACAGGTGATCCGTAGTTGTGCACTACTGGTGGAGTAATAACAGCACTATTTTGCAAACTGTTTCGAAAGTGTTATCTTGTGAGGATTTGAGAATAGCATCACTAAACGCGGTTCGAAAGTTAAGCGTAACAAAAAAATTTGGTCTAATTATCTAAGGAGGCAATATACTGCAGAATAGCATCAGTGACTAGAAACCATTCATGCTGATCTGTAGATTTCGCTTGGCTTCGCTTGATCTATACACTGGACGAGTGTTTCTTTCGTTCGTTCGTTCGGGGTTGAGCTTATCAGTGGTGAATCTGGAGAAATTCAACTGATATTATCGAATGGAATCTATCTAGCTAAATAGAATAAAATAGGATAATCAACTTTTAAGTAATTCGTCAGTTTATAACACTTTCGTGTCAGAGACCACATCTGATCCTGGGATGGAGCGTGGTTTTCAACAGAAACCCTATTGACACAACAGTTGGGCGGCTGAAAAACTACTCAACTACGAGGAATGTCAGTGTAGACCACGCAATTCGTAAATCATTTGCAAATTGATCATCTGGTCTTATGAGGTAATCAAGCAAGGCTGTCTACGGCGAAAATACGATTTTTAACACGAGTGGCATAAAATTATGCGGTTTGGTATAGCGAATTCATAAACACCACATATTAGTTTTGCATTTTGCATTTCTATATATCGTCAGAGCTAGAGAGAATACTGACTGCAAGTGGAAAATAGCATCACACAAAAATAAGTAAATATTAATCTTCATGTTTCTCCAGCTTTCCATTGATAATGATCGACGAAAATTGGAAAGAAGAAAAAAAGCGACAAGGTATCAAAACTATACAACCTGCTGGAACACTTTAGTAACACCATAAGAACCAAATCAGAGCATAGGAAGAAGTAAATGAAAACGAGTAAAATTTTTTTCAGAATTTCAGTATTGTATTACATCTGAGTATAGTAGGAATGGAGTAAAAATATTTCAACAATCTTCAAATGTTGATATTTCGTTGATATATAATTTTGAGAACCCAGAAAATCAAAGAAGGAATACAAAGCTGACAGACAGACTTCAGAAGCCAACAAGGACAGTAAACACTACATGTTTTACAGACCTTTAGACTCATACATATTCCTAGCATTCTGAGATAGAAAATATCGGAACAATCGCAGAATCAAGTGTATCAAGCAGACATGGAAGTAAGGAGAATTAATAGTCATCCATTGTTCTTATATCCTAGACTTAATGTTTAATATTAGACTCCGAGTAACTGAAAACGAAATCTTTCGGAAAGGTTCCTCTACAGTTTCGCTTCATATCTTTCGCCTCATTAACATAAATCAACTACTGAGAACAAATCACTGTTAACCTTCTTACACCATCGGCCATATGAACTCCTTAAAGTTAACTACAAATGCCTATCATACAAGAGAACTGATAAGAATCACGACTGTCTACTATCACCTGTGATAATCCTGATTGTAGTGGACTGGATCATGCAACAAAGTGTGTAAAGCGAGAAGAGTGGGATACGCTGGACAGCGGAAAAGAACCTAGAAGATTTGGATTTCGCCAACGATGACTTATGTCGAATGTCACACAAACTTGAAGACCTACAGGCAAAATCCAACAAGTTGACAGAAGAGGCAAGGCAGGACAGCAAAGACGCGAATTCAAGTGAACGTAGAGATGACAGAGGTGATGATGATACCCAACCAACGCCACCACCACCACCACCACCAACAACAACAACAACAAGCTCCAATCACCATCAATGGGAGAAACTTAAAGGAAACAGCCTCTTTCACCTTCCTAGGCAGTACTGTCTCAACTACAGGTGGCACAGGCACACACGAGGACATCAAAGCCAACCAGGATCGGAAAGACAACAGGACAGGCGTTCATTAGCCTGAAACCAGTCTGGAGATCTACTGCACTGCACTCAGCATAAAGCGTGAACAACATACGGATTTTCAACACCAACCCAGTCAAGTCAGTGCTTCTGTATGGCTCAGAGACTTGGCGCGTTACGAAAGGCATTTCCAACAAACTACAGATATTCATCAACGACTGCCTACGCTGGCTCGTTACTCAAGCTCAGATGACTAGAAAGAATAAGCAACAGGGAAGTCACTGTGGCTGGCAGCGAACCAACCAAGAAGCTATCACTCAACAAAAATGCAGAAGACGAAAGTGGTGATAGATTGGATGGATGTACACTGAGGAGACGGTTTGAGGACATGACGCGCCAGTCCAGGCACTCCAGTGGAACCCTTGTGGGAAACGGCAAGTTGGGCATCCGAGGTGAGGGTGACATGGAAGAGATGGTGTGAGGAAGAAATGAGAGCTTCTGGGCTGTCGTAGAACCATCTTCAAAAGATTTCAGAGAACAGAGTGAAATGGTGACGTTCTACTGAAGCCCTATGTTCCGTTAGGAACCCAAGGGACAAATGGTGATGATTATAAGAATCAAAGAGTGAGAGAAACGATAAGTAAAAAGAGTACAGGAAATCACGGGCTACAGAACATTTTTGAAAGTCCCGTCTTTTGAAGCGCGAATGATACTCAAACATCTTTACAAGTAAACTAATCTGCTTCATATAACTTAACTGATAGTATTCAGAGGGCCTTGAGAATCGTATGAGTTGTTCAAATTGACAACACCTACAAAATATCTCTGCTCTTACCTTCAATTGAGCACCAAGTTGAGGATGTCTTTTTTCAACAGGATCTGTTGGAAAATGTGATTCATTTAAATTACTGCTAGCCCAAAGTTCAAGTTCATCTACCGCCTTAGTCAAATTAGTTAGATGATAGCCAGTTAATTGTGGAATAGCAATACACAATTGATCTCGAAATGCGCTCATTTCATTGATACTATCCGCACTGCAAGATATGAAACAAAGTTTATGGTAATGAAAAGTAAATACTGATTGTTAGTATAGATTTTCAAATATCTATCAACCGAAAAACCAATTCCTTATAACTACTTCGACAGAATAAAAACAATCATGATGTTGATAACTGTTGACCGGTTGGGTACACTATCAAGCGAATTCATCAGAAGTTCAATGAGAGCACACAGAAATCTGACATTATGACAATTTAAAAGAGAGGTTAATACAAGTAATAAATATTTCTGTGAAGCTTCTAAAACAGTAGGTCATCATCATCATTATCAACATAGGACCAGGCATTACTGCCTCACGGTCCGAGTTGCCACACCTCATATCAGCACATCAAGTAAAAAGGTAGTGAGGTGAAGGATGAAGATAAGTGAATGCAGTCAAAAGAAATACAAAGTACAAGAAGAAAGGAAAGAGGAGTGACAAAATGGTGAGATTCGGTATAGCGTTATTAAGATGAGGATTATGTGTATCTACATCTGCGCCACTGACTTCGGTTCTGAGCCATATCACCTAGGATCTCCAACCACTGGTTCCTCTTGTCCTGCCGACCCCAACCACCTAGTCTGCATCGTCCTACATGGCTTAAACCAACAGTCAGAGACTTCATACATTGGTGCCATGTTTAGTCTGGCCACCTCAAGTATTTCTCCAGCCTGGACCCACCTCAGCCAACATTGCGTGACGAGGCAATCGGTGACTAGGCATACGTAGTACATGTCTCAACCATCTCAGTCGATGAAGGTTCATAACCTTGTCAAATGACTTACCTCTTCTCCCTGAAACTCTACACCTGACTTCTGCATTACTCACATGGTGACACCACGGAATACGTCCTATACTACGAAGGCAATGGTGGTCAAACACTTGAAGCCTTTTTATATCTTCCACTTTCAATGGCCATGTTTCACAGCCATACAGTAGAACAGACCGGACTGCTGTGCAGTACACGCGACCCTTAATAGACAAACGGATATCACGGCAGCGCCATAGGTGGCGCAAATTGGCAAAAGCCAATTGAGCCTTTTGTATCCGTGCAGAAATCTCATCGGCAACAAACCCACCAGGGTTGATCCTACTTCCCAGGTAAGTGAAGTGGTCAACACACTCAACCACTTCACTCTCTATTGTTAGCCGCGGTACCACTGAAGACCAGTCCTTGAGCAAAAATTTTCATTTGGGTGGTGAAAATTGCATCTGTGTAATCAGGTGACGAGAGGGAAACCTCCATAAGAATATCTATGATAAAATTAAATAAGAATGGAGATAGTGGGCATCCTTGATGGACACCACTTGATAAGTATAGCTCCCTGGACAACTCGCCATAGGCTCTAAAACAGTAGGGAATATATATGTATCACGGAGAATTATTCTGATGTTGATGGAGTATTTTCTGAGCTCGACTGTATCGAATCATGAAACTTTCTCTCTCCAGATATTATCATTTTATAATTTATGCTGTTAATCTATAAGAATTTCTACCCTAAAGGGTTAGTACCATGCCTAGATGACCTGTGATGTGAATAACTGTTTCTGTAAATGTCCTGTCAGTGTATCCATTCCCACCATCTGTTTCGACCATCTGATATCCAATTCTGTCTTTGGTTGGAATACTTCTCATGGAATAATATTTAAGGACTTCTTCAATATGATTATGGGTTTCTGTTTGACCTAATTACTAAGGCTGTTCAAAAACCAATAGAGTACTTAGAGTTCTAGCTCTGAGATTTCTACTTTCTTTCGGTTGGATTTAAGGATACATTATAGTGTTTAACCATTGGTTGATATTCGTGCAGGCCAAAACGAAGATAGGTGTCAATTTGTTAGATGCAAATATCTTCAAACAGGCTGTTTTTAGTTTCGCTTTTTTAAAGCCTGATCATGATCACCCTAGGTAAACACACTTTGTAGGTTTGTGAGTTGCAAACAGCCTGATGAACTTGAATGGTCAAGATGCAACAATCTTTGAAACAGTATTCATTTAAAGTAAAATGACCTTCGTTCTATGGTCTTTCTTTTTTTTTGGTTTGTAATGCAGGAAAAATTTGATGCGTCAAATGAGTAGTTTTAATAGCTCCATCTTTTCTGAGCAAAAGGATTTGATTGTAAATAGTTAATACCCCAAACATTCAAGCACTAGATTCAACTGCATTTCCAATAAGGTCGCACTTTAATGAAATAACAAGAGAGGGAAAAGTTATCATTATTTCTAGATTTTCTCATCAACAGAAAGAACACCAGAAAATCGGAAAGACAAATGAAAAGAGTGTTCATATAAACATACCTATAAGAAACACTTATATTCAGTGATTCTAGCGATATTAAAAGAGTATCATGTTTGTTAAACTCTCCTACAAAGTAACATAAACTACTTAAATGCAACGGTGAGTTTGTAAGGTAGATCGAGGTTGGTATGAAGTATGATGAGGGCAACTCATTAATTGATCAGCTTTAAGTTTATGCACTATTATATGAACCTATTACATGAAGACTAATGATACAACTTGGCAACCCAAACCTTGGTGAGTGTAAGGGTTCAAATTTGTGACTCACTGCCTGAAGGTCGACTGTCTAGACAAAAAGCACACGGTAAAATACATGAAATGTGAACGCTACTTGGTAGATAACGAGTATCTCTAAAGAATACCTTAGAAAGTAGTGGAATCACCAATCAAGTTTCACTATTTTATGAGAAAATCAACTTCCAAGACAAAACTAAGAAACCTGATTAGTTATTTCAGAAGTTCTAAAGGTGACCTTTATAGTCACTGCTCAGATAAAAGTAGTGATATGTTTGCAACTGTTTTGAATTTTATAAGGATTTGTATATGGTTTATTTCACTGTGTATTTCGTTATGCAATCTCTCACCAAATTTTGGGGAACCATTTATGATCAACTATTCATCAATATTATTTATCTGTGTGATAACCATATAAATGAGTTCAGAAGAAAAACTCAATTAGATCGGTAAGTTCTCGTCAACATAAGCTCCATGAACATTGGTCAGTTCATTTCAATGAAATAATCAAGTAACGATTTTCTTTTAAATGATAAAATATACGATAATCTTACAATGCAGAAAGGATATTTCTCAACTTCTCAGATTCGCCAATCAAAGCTTCAATCTTCGTTTTAACTACAGAAGGACACAATAACGATATGACAAGTTGATTAGTCAATTCATTAAGATACACCTCAGATCCACTAGAACCAATCATTTGTTCATGTTGATTGCTGAACATTCCAGATTTCAAAGGGAACCAAGTGAACTGTTGACGAAGATATTCTTGAGCTTCAGTACAATATTTGTCAACTAGTGAAAGTTTAAGAAACAGCTGGATAGGAAAAAGAAGTAAAAGAAGAAAATTGAGACGCTGAAATCAAATGAGATCAACTTTAACATATTAAAACAAGTTGAGAATACGAAATTGGCATGCGGTACACCCATTCGAACTAACCTATGACTTCCATTAAATGATATGAATAGTCAAATCCGATTTGGATCTATCAGAAACATGCTTCATTAACAAGACATGGGTTATCCAAACGGGGAAATCAGATAACTACTTCATACTTTTAGATGAAATCTAGTTGGTGCTCTGCATCGACAGATTCATGTTTAAGAGACAAATACTCGAGTTACAAGGATGTCATCCCTCTATTAAGCTTATTTCTGAAGGCATGGAGCATTCACTGTTTATGTTTTTTCGATCAAGTCGCCTAAACACATAATTTATCACTAAGACTACTTCCAATCATAGATTCAGTTTTAGTGGTATAACTTTCTGGTTATATCGTTACTAATTACAGCACTAAGTGGATCATTTTCAACGTTGGACCCTATTGACTTTACAGGGAATTGGGGATCATATGGTTTGTACACGACTTTAAACTCATCACTCCTGAAAATGAAAACATATATCAATGCTTAATTTCGACAAAATGTCATAAAGCATTAAAGTATACTCAAATTTGGATGAAAGTACTGAATTCCCAGCTATGGTTCAGTATATGCTATCGAACTGAATAAGAAATAAACATAACTGACAAAATCATCGTAGAAACTCAGACACAGGTGCATAGATTCAAGTTGCCACGTTTCACAATAGTGCACAAGGAGCAGGTGGATAGAAAAAGAGTAATATCGAAGTAGATAAGATTGTGTGAGGGAATAAACGATTTGAAGATAGAGGTTATTGCTAATTTTCAGGCTTTAGATGTCACAGAGTGAATACATTTGTGTCATTGTGACTGATTTTCAACCATGTGACCAAGAGTTCTCAACCCCTGATTCCTTTCGTCTTGGTAACCCAAAACAAGTAGTTTACATCGTCCTAGACGACTAAGACCAACAGTAAGAGACTTCATTAACTGGTGCCAGGTTTTGGTCTGACGAGATAGGTGGTGTCTCCGCACGCGCAGTACATGTCCAAGTCACTACAGTCAATCTTATCAACCGACTTGCCTGCCTTGCATAGTGCTCCTCGCCTGACTTCAACATTGCTCACACGGTGATTCCACCAAACGCCAGTTATGCTATGAAGACATTTGTGATAAAAACCCCGTAATCGCTTCATATCTTCTACTTTCAACGGTCATATTTCACAGCTGTATAACAGGACAGATAATTTATATGACTTATGATCTATTACAGGTAGTTGGATGATGTTACCGAGATACATTGCTCAGATTGTCATACATGCGTGAAAAATGTAAACATTTTGTTGGATTTTAATAACTTTTAGAGGTACCACATTCAGTATGTAACTACTAGAAGCAAAACACTAGAAGCTGAGTAAAAAACTGCACTAACAAGCAAACCCAAATGTTGTTAATTTTTTTTGATTCAGGCGGATGGTAATGATATAATATTGGTTGTTATCTGGAAAACAGTGTGAGTACATAGTCCAGTTATACAAAAGAACAGCTAGAACAACTCCAAGATAAATTTCCTAGTTTTAGCATGGAACAAAACAATTTTGTCCTCCTGAGAAGGCATTAAAAACCATCATACTAGAAAGATATCATTGTGATATATATCATTGAATACAAAGCCCAAGAATAGGACGTTGGCTGCCCTTACTTATCCATAGATCCAATTTCTAGGTGGACAAATTCATCTACGCTAAATCGTCAACAGTCATCAACCTCAGGTACATTATAATCGTCTGACAAACCAATCAAAAAGTCAGTAAGAACGTAAATTCAAATGGATTTTATCAAGAATCTAAGCCATACATTTATCACTCATGGTGTTGAGAATTACTGATGTTAAACTCCTTCCTTATGTGAGTAGTATAGTGAATAAAATGATATTTCAACTGCTAATTTCAAGATATCAGGAAGTTTACGGTGAAAGCTACATCGCATTGAAGGGAAGAAGACATGAACAAAACCATACATCATTCCCTAGTATAATGTCATCTGAAAGTAAATTGGGTAAGCTATCATTTCATGGTTTTTTGCATTAAGCTTTTCTCTTATTATTTTCTAGCGAGATTCTTGAACCCTTTTGTCTGTCAGTACAGTCAGATACGAAAATTCTATGAGTTCGGTTAGTTCCGCACCGAGATGTCTACAAGTTATGGCCATAGTGATATGCTCTTTTTGCAACGACAATCAGTTCGTTTTTGTTTAAGCAAGTTATGTGAGAACAATAACTTTTAGCTAAATAAAACAATGATAGCGCAGCTGTCTATATTAGATAAGTGCTTACAGAGTTGCTATTCTATAAATCTCTCATTCTCATACTCCCCGTCTATCGATTGAAATGCATAATGTGAACTTCTTCCTCTAAATTAGAAACAGAGACAACCTGTTGATTATTCAACAAATAAACCAAACTCTTGGGTGACGCGTGAAACCCAAAACGAGATTTGTCTTACGTGCGGTACTGTATTATTAGATGATAATAATGACTAATGAACTGGAAACTTCAAATCAAGAGCAGCTTTCGGGGGTTTTTTTGACTCTGAAAGCAATTTACATAAAATACTTCAATAAAAATATCAGCAAAGCAGTATCCAAAGTAAATTGTGGTCGAAAATGTTAAAAAGCGCAGATATGCAGGGGTTAAGCTAAAGGGATAACAATACACAACTAGTGAGAAGATAGTGTAATAAAGAAGTGAAAGAAGAGAGAACAAGGCAATCAGAAATTTGGAAGATATAAACATTCTAGGAGTTTCTATAGCAGGCAAAATACAATTCCAACAGGACCGTACAATGAAAGTTGTCTACGAATTAAGATTATGAAATAAAGTTTACTACTTGAAAATAGTAAGTAGTATAAATCTGAAAGCATAAAAATAATGGAAGGGTAGTGACAAAACGAAGGAAAATTAAAGCGAAATAGGAAACGAATTAACATAACATATAGACATCATAAAATAACAACCTTTGCTGATGAAATCTGTCATCAGACAAGCTCAGCATTAGACTGAATCATACTATTTTCTTCTGGCATTTTGCAGCAACAAATTCCGTGTTCTAATGGGGTAGTTCACTTCATTTGGGTAAATGTAAGCAAGTCAGTTACAATCAGTGAACTTCACGCACCAAAGAAGTTTTACACGAATGCTAACAGGGGGGGGGGGTCCAAATACAGGTTTCAGATAGGCCTTTAGGATCTTAATGCATTTTATTTTAACTATTCAGGGTAGTTCGACAGCATACCAGTAAGTGTAATACAATTTTTCCCGACTAAGCCTGCTTCCCAAGTTGGTATGCATCATGGACTGACATCAGCTGGAGGAAGTTTCGAAATCTGGAAGCACTGGGTAGCTTTTTCATCCTCGTATGGGACTCCAAGAATGCGTACTCATGACCCCACTAGGTATCGAGCCCAGGACCTTCAGGTCCCACGGCCTTCACCTAACCATTGACCCACCTGGTCGGAACCCAATGGTCCATATTTCCAACTTCTGTCAGTTCACAACATAGCGCGCCACCGAGCCTGAAGGTCCTGACTTCGGTCCCTAGTGAGGACTCATATGCTAGGACGAAATAACTGTCCAGTGCCCCCAGGTTTTCAGTGTTCCTCCAATTGATGTCAGTTCATGATGAATACCAACTTGAAAAATCACTAAATCCCCACAAAACCCCGAATTAAACCTATTTTTCATAAAAAAGCTAATTTCAGTATGAACAAGGAACTAGAACACGCTGTGTTTCTTATCCATTTTTTATTCGAAATCGCACAAAAAGTTGGTAATCTGAACTGCTGCAAGAAATGAGTCCAGGCAGTTCTTCAACTGCAGTCTATTCGATAAGTATTTGGAGTCCCTTTTAGTTTCATTTGTGAGCACCTGTTTCTACTCTCAATTTGGTTGGTCGTGTAAGTAATTGACTCTAATATTAACTTCTCGGGATCTATCACTCTGAATAGAATCGCTAATGAGCAATAGTTTACAGGTTCCTCGAGTTTTGATGAATTCAAAGTCGTTAAATGTCAACCAGTATTATGCGGAAAACACTATTGGTTGTGAGGTATCAAGGTTACACCTTCCCACCTGTTTATAACCAACTAGACTCTAAGAATGTACTAGTCTCTGAGAATCCCAACCCCAGAGTACTCATTCCCTACACTGACGATACTAAATTTGAACTACTGAGCTCTGATTACACTGTTTAGATTCTTTCAATCATATCTGTACTCAATATGAACGAAATTAGAAAAGACTAAGACAAACAAACAAACAAACCTGCTCTAATGCACCATGTTCTGGTGACTTCATGTGCATTTTAAACAGTGGTTTCTCCAAATACTCACAGTCCATAGATTCCTTATTGTCATCATTGATACGGTAGGTTGTATCATTTATTGATCTTGTAAAATTCAATAAACAAATCAATTTATTTGTTATTTGTTGACAATTGTCTCTGCCAAGTTTAAACAGGTGTACTATACGTCGATGTATTGTTGAAGGATTCTGTAATTCTGATAGATAGTATTTCAAACGACTGTCTAATATATGCTGAACAATGTCTTGTTGACGTAATACTATTATTAAATTGACAAGATTGATGAAATTTATCGAATGACTAATAGATGTTCGAAATTCAATAGTTTGAAGGTCATGGAGTATTTTATTGGTTTCATCTTTGATTACTTGTAAATGCAATAGACGTTTCTAAAAGAGGAAATATTTAGAAAGGAAATATATAATTCTGAACCAAAAGGAAACATAGATAATGTGAACAAAAACATTCTTTAATGATTTGGTCAAGAAATTATTTATCGTCTATCCTAGAAGTAGAAGAATATGAAAGGAATCTGAACGCTTTTAATGATCGTTTCAACAACAATACCTCATATCTATTTATCAAGCCGCACTGAAGTTCATATGACCTTCCAAACATGAAAATGAATGTGAAAAAGATCCTCTGAATGTCGACGATCAATAACTTCCGTCTGATTAAAAGTGGATCCTTTCCTAACAACGAACAGGTTACATGAAATGACTATCTGCTTTCGAGTCTCCTTTCCTCATAAGCAGGCACAGAGAATCTATTGTACTAGTTGACCCTCATTGACACACAACGTCGTAGGACGAAATAAATCGATATGACCAACAATGGCATCTCATTGATTTCGATAGTCACTAGTACAGATATCTAAGACGTGTAATGATTCTATTTCGAGTTCCGTCAGCCAGATGTAGATGTTGGTATCAGTGAGTGTACCAAGTAAGACTCATCAGTAACTCATTCCAAAGAAACCCCTAAACACCAGGTAGCACTGAACAGCTGATTTGTCCTAGTTCGGGATGCCTCAGTAATACACCACCATGGTTGTATGATCTCATGGCTAATCCATTAGTCAGTAAAGTGAGGTTCTGTCGCCTACGTTTTTGAACTTTTGTCAACTTATGATATGGTGTGACCGTGAGTAATTTCCCTCTCATTGGACTTTTATGAACCATCATAACTTCTCAATAGGAATTGGAGCTATGCAAATAGAAGTAAAAAACTATCGAATACTGCATTGTTATACACTTTAGAGGTTCAATGAGAAATTGAAGAATATCAACAATTGTGTCTTTGTTGGAAGTAACCATGATACTCTATGAAGTATATATCCACTCCGCAGTAACATGTCAGGGTGTCAAGTTGAATTAGCCATACTCAGTGCTGTTAAGTGTTGCTGGGTTTATGTTGCTGGCTTTTGAAAACCCTGGATGCTTTATGCGCCTGAGATTACTGGTCAGGCCTAGTTGCTTACGTCTGTGAGCCTTCTCGCGGTCTGCTGGATATTATAACCAATACACCACTGACTTAGCGAAAACCACAGTCGACAAGATCTATATGGACAAGATCAGTGGCGTGGGTCTCCAAAGAACGAATGGTTCTGTTAGCTCTCAGGATTTCACCCAGTGCACTAGAAGAAGTACAACCTTTAAGTAAGGTGAATTCAACTTTCTAAATCTGCTAGTCATTGTTATTGAAGAAACCCCCAGAGACGGGTGTAGTCTTACCTTGCGATGGCAAGCGATATTCATTCCAGAATTCCAGTTTTTTGATCCCTAGCCTTGGGCTTATTTCAGTAACCTGAGTGGAGCCACTGCTGTGAATCTGATGGCATTATAAGTTCCAGGACTAGGCCTCCTAGAAAAATGACTTTTCGGAAAGGTGAGTTGTACTTAGGTTCATAAAGTTGTGGAGACTACATTGAGATGTGTCCTACGCACATAATCTCACGTAGTAATGAACAAGGTCATCTAATTTGGCTCTGTGAGCTGAATTTCTCCGGATACATCGCCGATGAGCTCGGCCCTTAACGAGCAAAACGGCCAGTCGATAACTAGACCACTCTGATCTGGTTGGTGAGATTTACAGGTCATCGTGAGTGGTTTCTTACTATTCAGGTTGTCTATAGTGTACCCTCTTCTGTATTTATAATTTAAATGGGTGAAAATATTCCAATAGTATCTGCTAATTCCCTTCTCATTTGTTCTCTTTTACCCCGTCTTACTACCCTGGGATCTCTTTGTACGCTTTCAGTTTTGTACTACTTAGTACTATTGAGTAGTATAACTTATGTTCTCTAAGATACTACGCATTGTTCATTCAGTTCAATCGCACCACGTTTATCACTTTAACATCCCTAGATTCTAGTACCTTTACTAGTTCATAATGGTATAGGAATCCCCCCGGGGCTTGCTGATGTTATTTTTCACCTTGGAAATCAGCTTAGCATATATGTTTGCCTCATCGCGGAAAAATACAAGCGCCCTTTATGTTCTCTTCCGTTTTTCTGTCGACACAGTTCTGCTGTTCGTACTGATGACGAACTCTCTGCAAGGTACTTTGATAGTCATAAACCCAAAGATATCTCACGATCAGAGGTCTGAAAATCATTATTCACTACTGTTTATTGGTATATAACCGTGTTACAGACAAATCCTGTCTTGAATTTTACGCGTAAATCGAACGTTTGATTAATTGTTTTAGAGAATCCCTTTGGTTCTGAATTTCTTGGAAAGAAATTCACAGCACTGATGTAACCATACACCACATAGGTTAGTCAACCTTAACACCAATCTCATAACTCCGTTCTTTTTGATTCAAGATGCTTAGAAAGTGACTAACCATAAAGTAGAAAGTGGACGATTTGGGGTTGGAATTCATCATGGACTGACATCAGTTGGAGGAACATTGGAAACCTGGGAGCACTAGACAGCTGTACAGGGATCGAACCGAGGACCTTCAGGTTCAGTGGCAAAAAGTAGGAAAATATGGACCATTGCACTCCAACCTACTGGCTCATAGTAACATGCTGCCCGTGGAACCTGAAGGACAGGGGTTAGATACATGGAAGATCATGGATATACACTACTAAGGAGTTCCATGCCAAAACGAAACAGCTGTCCAGTGCTCCCGGGCTTGCAGTGTTTCCCCAACTGATGTCAGTCCATGATGTATTCCAACCGAAAATCAATTAATAAATCTCCATAAAACCTCAGCATAGAAACTGGATGAGTTTCGAAATGCAAAACTCTTAATCAAATATACAGATTTATCGTTCAAGTAAACAGCCGTATACATACAAAAGATGTGACTACACTGATGTAGAAGTATAAGTTCCACAACAGATAACTAGGCAACTTTGTTAGAAGAGTATTTAAGTAACCAGCAATACCTAATCAGTTGAAGGCTTCACGTGTTTGACCACCGTTCCCCTCGTAGCATACGCCATATTCCATGGTGTCACCAAGTGAGTAATGCAGAAGTCAGGTGTAGAGTCTTAGGGAGAAGACGTAAGTCAGTTGACACGGTTGTGAACCTTCATCGACTGAGATGGTTGGGACATGTGTAGATATGCCCAGTCGCCATCTCCTCGTCACACAATGTTAGCCGAGGTGGCCAGAATAAAACACAGCACCAATGAATGAAGTCTTTGACCGTTGGTTTGAGCCATGTGGAGTGGTGCAGACTATGTGGTTGGAGTCCACAGGACAAGAGAAACTGGTGGTTGGAGACTGACTCTAGGTAATATGGCTGAGAACCGAAGTCAATGGCGCAAATGTATACATACATTATCCTCATCTTAACGATGCTATGCCGAATCTCACTATTTTCTCATTCTTCTTTTAGTACTGTATATTTCTTCCGAATGAATTTTCTTTTCTCCATCTTCCACTTCACTGCCTTTTTTACTTGATGTGGTGATATGAGCCGTGGCAACTCGGACCGTTACGCAGTAATGCCTGGTCCTATGTTGATTTGGATGAATGGAACCAATTGGTACGAGACCAGTTTTTCCTTTCCATAGCACTTTCCTACGGCATGCATAGGGTGATGTAGTTCATTGGTTAAGACAATCAATTATAGATCGTTTAGTTGAGGAGTTCAAACTGGTCCAGTTAACCTGGAGACCTAGTAATATTACAACCACTCATACAAATGCCACGTAATATGGCCTGATAAGCAGACACAGCTTATAAAAAACAGCAGTATACAAAAGAACTAAGCAGCGCTGCATTATAGATAATATGACTGAATTCCTAAATTTACAGCGTCTATTTATTTAAATAATCTGTGATAATAGAATGGCAGATAAAATTCAAAAATGCTCAACGTTGCTTACCTCAATCTCTACACAATCAGTCGTTTCCATATTATCAGCAGTCTGCACATTGGAGATGAGAGAGTTGAATTTTTCTGCGCAATTAGCTAACACGTTTTTGAATTTTCGACCACACTCAAGTTTACTCATAAGAATCTCATGCCAACGAGATAAAGTTTGTCGCAAGTTCAATGTTTTCAAATCATTTGGTCTAATAGAATCAATACCTTTCAATAAAACATTCATCATTCCATCATCTTGATCATCAGTAGGTTTTAATCGTAGAAGCTGATTTTAAACAGAAATAACGGAGAAAAAGCGCTTTGTGAAACATTCACACACACTATGTTGTTGCTTATGCTAGTTAATTTTTAATACCCACTCAAACTACTTATAATGAGTTATCAGTAGCACCCAGGTTTACTATTCAATTTTCAAACGACATGTTAGGAAGTGACGGTAAATTATTAATTGACGAAAAACGAGCGAAGATGAATGACACATTGACTGCCTCAGTACTGGTGGTTACTAAGGTAGGAGATAAGTCTATGAAACTCCACCATAGTAAGTGTCCATAACTATGGCTTGGGCTTTTGGCCTATGAAGTTCAAAGCACTTTTACAAAATTGTCGAAAGTCTTCGTTTTTTTAATTATACTAGCAGGCAAATCACTGGAAGTCATCGAAGAGTTACAGTTAAGTAATGATGGAGATGTGACGGATGAGATTTTCAATCGTGTATGGAAAGTCAGAGTGTCAAACACCAGTCTTGATCATCCTAAACGTTGTCTCGACGTTAGTCTGAATAAAAAGTAGGTTATGCCTTACACCAGTAAGGGAGATGTAGTTCTCCACATGTGCAAACTTGCTTTATTATGTTGAGGATTTCTCACAAATATACCTGTTCTATCATCTCAATCTTCTTAGAATTACTTGTACCAAGTAGAAACACGATGGGAGTAATTTTGGCGTGAACCAGCGTGTTGTGACATTGTAAAGATCATCACTCGCTGAGCAAAGTTATCTTGAAGAAGTGGTCACGGAGAATTATCATCATCGTTTGGTAACTCATGGAAAAAATGAAAGAAGAAGAGGCGTTGTCAGAGCAGACCATGCTATCGTTCGACAAAGGGTATTCGTGCTTGTTTAGTATATTTTGGAGTCCCCTAACTCCCTAGAGCGTGGTCTAGGGGGTCATACAAATCAGTGGCTTCAGAAGATGTCACATTTGACTCTTATGTAGCACTCGAATTGTGTTTAAGCGGTAATATATAGTGAGGTTACAAGAAAAGCATAAATTATCTTGCAGCTAATAACTACCACAAGAAACCATACAGCACAATTAATATACGTATTCTTCAAACATAGTCCACATTCCCTCGAGGAATTGGTAATACTCACTGCAAAAATCTCAGTAGACGTTCATTAATATCCTCGTTAGTTATGGACAAAATGCACTGAATTGAAGATACATTTTAGTCGTTGATAAGATAACGTCCATAAGTAATTGAGATGAAATAAGCTGCATATTACGATTATGTTAATTTTCAGGTAGTGCTCTAATGAATTTCAATTGTTTATCAAGATCTAAACAGAAGTATTCATATATACTCACTACAGTCGCCTATTTGTGGCTGCAGTTCGAACTCATTATTTCTATACTTTAAATTTCATACTACTTTTTACTAGCAAGTAGCATTCTTGTGTTAATGTAATTTTGTCATGTCATACCCCACATTTAGTGGCCAAGACTCCTCGAAACTACATCGTTTTCAGGATTGCTTTGTCTCTTTTCCTCTCATCATTATGGCGTCTCTTCCACTTAAACCAGAGGGTTTGCATATGAACTGCTGAAATCTTTCTGATTTTGCATTTCTTTCATCTTCGTGTGCATTGGTACACCTCGTAATTAAGTGTAGTTAGTTTATTGGCACAAAAACACGTTATTTGTCCATTTTCAAAAGTCTTTTACGAACAGATGTGACAGACATTCAGTCATGGCGAAACTCCAGCTGTATGGTCTTATTATTCTTTATCATAGCTCCACATCAATATTCTTCTTTAAAAAAGTCTTGTATTCTTAGTTTTGAGACTTTACGCATGACCATTTGATTTTGGATTTCCCCAACAAAATTTACGACTACTGAACTTTAAACTCTAGTGAGGTGTTCAGTCGTCACTGGTTGATGTAGAACCAGTATATCAATCCTGCTGCCGCTTGCAAAAGTTCATAATGGACTTGATGAATCATAGTTGCGAAAAAGAAAATAGTGGTTAAGGTGTAAAGGAGTCTTATCCACAATAGGCATTTGGAAAAGGAAATGAATGAGAAATGTAGATTATTCTTTCAAGCTAGGTACCTTATACCGTTTCTTTTATTACTAGAGTTTCCCTACCAAAAGACTAGACACAACCCATCGACGCCAGGAATATCAAAATACTTACTGGAAGCTGCCCAGCTTTTGAAAATGAAAACAAATGAAATTATAGTCTGAAACATGTGATGTATTAGCGCTATACATTTCGAACAATCTGATCACACATGGATTTGTCCAACTACCTACGTGAAAATTTACAAAAAGGGTCAATGAAGTCAATAAGAAACATAGGAATAAGAAGGGAGAGAAAAAGGAAAACAACGTTAATCCCGTTACTCTTGGCATGAAAATTAAAATCAATACTACTAAGGTAGGTTCAATGTGAGTAAAAATTGTTTTTGTATACATAAAGGTGGTTTTAATTTACGGATGGTAAGAGCTTCAGTGAATTTAAGCACTTGAGTCTGACCACTTTTATGTAATACTTTAAAGGCTGTTTTCATGTCTATCCTATAGTTAGTTTCTAGTATATGTATAGCGATAGACGAAGATGGATGTTTGTCACCTGCACTTATCGGATCTGTTGAGGTCATTTGTTTTTTGTAGCCACTTAGGTACATGTTCAATCTACTTTAACTGCATATCATGATTACTTCTCCCTATGAATGTGTGTCCACGCATACGTATGAATTTAATCGTCTAAAGTTTATGGGATGTGAACATCCACATCTATATGGGTTACCTAAAACTTATAAACCTGATAATCCACTGCGTCCAATATTGTCTATGTGTCGATCACCCACACATAATCTAGCCAAATGGTTGGCTAAGTTCTTGAGTCCTGTCAGAAGCCATTTATGTAAGTCCTCATTGAAAGATACATTTGACCTTATTGACTGTTTAAATGATATTAATATCAAGGATAAGACTATGTACTCCTTCGATGTAAATTCTTCATTTACTAATGTACCACTGGTAAAGACAATTGATAGTTTATGCGACTATATTTCTTCCGACAGTCTTATATTCCCTATCCCTATTAACTTTTTAAAAGACATATTATTATTATTATGTATTGATAAAGTTGAATTCATATTCGAGGGTGAACACTTTCAACAGATTGATGGCGTCATGATGGGTAGTCCATTAGGACCGTTGCTATCTGATGTGTACATGTCATATATTGAAAACCTGGCTGACGATCTCATCGTAAGGGTTTCACTTCATAAGAGATATGTCGATGATATAGTCATTATATATCAAAAGCCTGATGATGAGATGTGCCTGCTAGAGAAAATGAACACAACTCAAAATCACATTAGCCTGACTTGCGAACAAGAGACGAACAACTAGCTATCGTTCCTAGACATATTGCTCAGTCGACAGGAGGATGGCTCGATCAAGCGGTCGATCTATAGGAAACCTAGATGGACAGGGCAAAATCTTAATTTCCATAGCTATTGCCAGTCCAATATAAACGTGGTTTAGTAAGATGCTTATTCAATAGGATAAGCAGCATCTGCAGCGATGACACCAGGGAGGAAGAAACCAACTTACTGACGACAGCACTGACACAAAATGGCTGTTCGTTGAGATTTATCGACAGGTAGAAAAGTTATGTACCATCGAAAAGTAGTGTTCCGTTCCTAAGACAAATGTCTACATCACATTACCATTTAAAGGTGATTCACATAACTTTGTTGCGAGGACAAGACTTAGACTGACCATCTGTAAAACGCATTATGCAGCCAAGGTCATCATTGTAGAGAAGACAAAGCTCATGTTACAGCATAAACCTAAACAACATATAAACGACTACATCACATCCTACTGTGTTTATCAATTTACATGTATGTGTGGACACACATTCATAGGGAGAAGTAATCATGATATGCAGTTAAAGTAGATTGAACATGTACCTAAGTGGCTACAAAAAACAAATGACCTCAACAGATCCGATAAGTGCAGGTGACAAACATCCATCTTCGTCTATCGCTATACATATACTAGAAACTAACTATAGGATAGACATGAAAACAGCCTTTAAAGTATTACATAAAAGTGGTCAGACTCAAGTGCTTAAATTCACTGAAGCTCTTACCATCCGTAAATTAAAACCACCTTTATGTATACAAAAACAATTTTTACTCACATTGAACCTACCTTAGTAGTATTGATTTTAATTTTCATGCCAAGAGTAACGGGATTAACGTTGTTTTCCTTTTTCTCTCCCTTCTTATTCCTATGTTTCTTATTGACTTCATTGACCCTTTTTGTAAATTTTCACGTAGGTAGTTGGACAAATCCATGTGTGATCAGATTGTTCGAAATGTATAGCGCTAATACATCACATGTTTCAGAAAATCTTCGTCTTCTCACTACGCTGTTTAAATTTATCAAAGGGACCAGTTGCTTGAAAATTATAGTCATTATCATTGTGGATACTTCAAACATGGCGGTGGATATACATTCTGATACACTCACTCACTCACCTATACAAGCAAGAGTGACAATATCGACAACAAAGCGTTATATTATATGTGTATCAATCAACCAGACAATTTTAAACATAAGGGAATTATTGACATCGGGTGATGATTGAAGATGAAATGAAGATCTGGGCCTTTGTAGGATTCAAAGTGTTGATATCCCAGCCACTGGCTCGGTGCTTCATCAAATAAGCCACAAGGCACAACTATTGTGTTCATACTGGTTACCCAGTCAGGTCATCGGTTCCTAATCTGAGTCCAGCTGAATTACAGAAGGGGAGCACCATATTGATTATCAGTGTGACTGTCTGAGATAGCTAAGGTTTGGCAAAGTAAAATTAAGACCTGATCAATAGCTGGTTGCTTTTAGCTAAGTTGGTAGATTGCCGGATGAGCAACACGAAGACTGCTTGTCCAAATCCTGTCGTGACATGGATTCTCATTTCACCTTCAATCATCATTCAGTATTGAAAATCCCAGTGTAGCAAACCATAGTTATCTCAGACAGTCCGACTGATATTAAAAAGAAAACCACTTACATTTAAATATTTAATTCAGATGGCTTTACTGTCGGTGTATGTGAGAAATATGTTTGGTACCCGGAAAATGGAAGATGATGTTTCAAGACTGATCTGTACCGACTCCTTATGCAAGAATAGAGAGTAGAACTCTCTGACCACTTCGTTTACCTGGGGAATTGGTATCAGGACCAATCAACTACTTGCTTAAAAAACTTTCGCTCGGATACGAAAGGCCTTTTTAACGTCTGCCAAATTACTCCATCCCTTATGTCATCAAGATATTCGACTAATTATGAGAGAATGAGATACGCTTGCACAGCAGTTCACTATGTCCTGACGTACTGTTGTGAGACATGGCTATTTCAAATAAGAGACATAACAAGACTACCGGTTTTAGATCGCAGATACCTCTGTAACACTGCTAGCATGTGGTGGAACCGCCGAATGAGGAACCCTTAGGGGAGTTGTAGAGTATATAGGCAAGGGAGGAAGTTTGTTCAATGATGTTGCTAAAGTCCACCAATTGGGATGCCTTGGATCCGTGTTGAGCATATCAAACCACCGCTTATGCATGCAGTGTTGACCAAAGCAGGATTGGATTGGAAGGAAACCAAAATATATAACTAGAGTGAAACATGTTATGAGAATTCATGAAGTCTCTGACTGTTAGCCAGACAGGTGTAAGGCAATGTAAGATGTATGGTTGAGGTCTTTGAAACTAACCTTTACCTATTTCTCCCCTTTCCTTTTACCTATTTCAGTGTCATTCTTTTCCAATCAACTTCTTCCTTGTAAGGTTCATCTGTTTTTCTCGGAACTGAATGAAGTCGAAAAGTATCCTTCATTCGTCTGCACTCTAGTAGTTCAGCGTGATGTACTCACCAGGTAGTATAAACTTCCCTGGTAATTACAAGTCAATAGATGAAGGAGGAATTTTCCCACCATTGGAAAGTTCAACACTCAGACAGGACAGTCGTTCAATAACCCTTGAATATACATCATTTCTTAATACCAGATCAAAATAATAGGTTTTTTGGATAACAAGAGAGTTTTTAAAAAAGTATGTACATACAAATGATCGAAAACAACTCACATTTCCAACTTGTATATGATGATTATCAATTTTCTGTATACAATAAGTGATTTTATCACTGAGATTTTGTATAGACTCCATGAGAAGATAATCGATACAACCGGAGTGACTGGCAAATTTTCGAAACAGATTATTCAATTCAGCTTCATCAATGGAGAACAATATTTCATGTACTCCCTTACAGACACATTGACTACATTGATAAGTATATGATATTTTATGTGTAGAGTAGGAGAGAATAGACTCCACAACTTTAGGTCGTGTAGTTAGTACCCAGTGTAATAGTATAGGATTGTAAACCGATGACTTCTTGGAACTCATAATAGACCCAGCAAGTTTCACAATGTTCTGCCATGTATCATATAAGTTGAACAAAACCTATAAAAGATATTATTTGAACATATGTATAAATCACAATGAATGTGGCTTTAATATCTACATTAATCGAAAAGATTTTTATTGGGATATGATGGAGGGAGGTGAAAGAAAAACTAAATGTAAACTATTTTCAAGGCAACGATTTTAGACAACTTGTACACACACAGACCTATGATGTCTTGATGTAAACTAATACCATCAAGTAAATCATATCGATATTATTTGCGTTATGGATATATATCCATGGGTTAATCGTTATTTAAGTGGCCCAAGTGAGCAGAAACACTGACCAATAACTAGATTATACTATATATATATATATATATATATATATATATATGGCAGATAAACAAGATTATCATGTACTTCTGGTTTAGTTAACACTAACTGAAATAAGATTTCATCCACAATCTAGTGAATTGCACAGTTAGAGAGATCAAATCAATCATTGATAAATTGGTGAAACTCAATCGACTAGGGTATGGCATGAATTGACTAATGCACAGATCCGTGAATGACACTTGTAGCCATAGTTAAAATGTTATTAACAACTTGCACAACTGAGTAAAGAAGTTGAATAATGTAATGATATGAAGTGGATGAACTGAAGATTACTAACCACCTCACACTTCATAACCTATTTTCTAAGACAATATAGTGAAACCATCGTTGAATACTCTCTTCATTCTCCCTGTAATTTAGTGCTGTAAAACTTTTTCGAAGGACGAAATGTTTAGCAACTGGTTTTCATTAATATAGGTCGTCATTGTGGTAGATTTTAATTTCACATTCGATTTGTTTATTTGATTTGTATAGCTCACAGTGTGATGTGATACAGTATTATTTACTTGATGACGACATTTCGAGCATAAATTATTATCCCTCATAATCATATCAATGTAATCACACTACTTTCGACATTTGATTTTTATAGTCCTGTCACCCACCTCATATTCTTTGTTCTTATTGGTAGTAGAATTCTCCATATCTCTGATATAGGTGAACAAAGATACAGTAATAAATCTTTCTCTCCATCTAATTATATGGGATCAAGTATAGTGGTTTTCTTCCACTCACCCTTTTATGTGGTTGCATGGTAATGCATGGATTGCAATAACCGAGTATTTTTCTAGATTACTGATCTTACTAGAGTTTATCATTCTTTATTTAGGTAAATTCCTATGTTCTGCTAATCCAACATATCCTGGCCAGCGGGTTTAGTTTGATAGATGTACTTGGCCTCACACTCGTTACATGAAATTTGATAGATTAGACTACTTTGCTGAATTGGATCTATCGGATCCTTAAGCCAGCTGATAAGGCTTACCTCTGAGTGAGTTAGTGGGTTTTAATGTCATCCTAATTCCAGCCTTGCTGAGGATCTTACGTAAAGATTCTGATGTACCTTCCTGAGAGGGTAACATAATAAAGGCTGTGAACTCCTACTCGTGTTGTCGTTATTATTCGTACTCGTGTTACTGTTATTATTTCGTTTCTTATGTTTTCCTACGAATTTCTTAATAAGCTGTCGAGGATAATTATTAACTAATAACTATTAGCTCTTCTTTTACGTGCTTCAATTCCTTGTTTAGGTCATTGCAGTGACTAGTCAGTTTTCTAGCTCTATCAATTAGACATTTGACTAAACCTGAGTTAACTGACATTGGATGGGATGACTTGAAGTCTAAATACCTGCATCGGTCTTCTGTAGATAGTAGTATCCAAACCACCATCTCTCCTTCGTTTTATCTTGCAATCCAATGGAGGTAATTCTCCTTGTTTATTTTCTACTTCATAAGTGAATTGGATTGCGTCTACCACTGAGTTTATATGTATGAAGAAATTGTCTATATGCTCTGATTTCAACGCGGCGAATGTGTCATCCACATATCGCCACCATATTTTTGATGCCGTACTATACGTTTGGGAAGGTATGTTTTCCCAACTAGCTTTCAATTAATTTTCATATCGCCTTGGTTTATATCATAATTTCCCCAATGGTGGTCTAACAGATGACAGTTGTAGATAAATTCTGTTCCCAATCCCTGACACCAGGGCAACAGGAATTCAGTAACGTAAGTAACGACAGTATAAGACTGATGAGACAATTTTGAAAAACTCAGTGCTTTTAAAAACTCAAGCAGTGAAATTAATGCAAATAATTGATAAAAAGTAGTTAAAAATTATGTCAACTTTTCGTAGACAAAAAACAAAAAGTTTTAATTTTAAGAACTTACAAGCAGATGGTTAAAGAACAAGAGCTGTTTCTCTGATTCAGATGAATTTCGGAATAATTTATCAACTTCCAATTTATTATGCCAACGTTCACTGAAACTTATACTGCCTGGGATATCAAACTCATTGGAATATTGTGAAGTAGCTGTTGTGGATGTTATTGAATTCAAGTCAGTGGTTAGCATATTGCAAAAACATTTCAAAAAACCATTTCGTACATATTTCATACATTGATTGTAAATGTTCATCCATAGTTTGTCCGATTTGGAATCACCTGTCAGAATCTAAGGAATATGTGAAACTTCCGTTCAGTAATTTTAATATAAACTTAAGCTACTTATAAGTAGTATAAAATATATACACAATACTTTGCTTCACCTCAAATTATTATGTGATATTTTATATAATAAAACTTATTACGTGAGGTTTACTATGATTCTAGAGCGTTTTGAGAACCAAAACACACTGTTGATGACTTTAGAGGCTTTTGATGCTTTAACTTCACGTCGTGTATTGATTATCTGACAGACTACTGAGTTGGTAAGAGAACTATGAATATTAGGATTCAAATTTCTTGGTATGTGCTAAAAATTCAGTCAGATAGTCGTCTATTTGCTCATCCAATGTAACTGATTCCATACGCTAATGCTAGGTGGAAAACGTAACTGTAAATAAAAACGTCAATATCTAGTTCGTTTTTCCTTCCATTTCGTATATATATCAAGAAAGTTAGGTTGGCTTTCTTCGCATTCTCTTGTAAACTTGATGTTATGAAGTAAATTTGATGCTCACTGAAAACTATCGCAAAGATCTCATCAACAAAAAGTACACATGTAACGTATATTTAATGATCAGTGACTTCGGGCTAGAACCTCACAGCCTTACCATAATGTATAACAGCTAGTACTGAACATAGTGGACTTCCCGTAGCTACGCCATCGGACTAGCTAGACAGAACACCGCCAAACTACAAACACACGTCTTTAGTGTACAGGAACAAAAGAAACCTAAGTTCATCCTTTGGTGGTTGGATATTTTGGGCGCGTTGGCAAACAGTGTCGACCGATTGGTTTTTACTTAAAAAGTTCCTTCTTTTGCGACTCGTTTCTCAATAGCTTTCTTCATGTTTTGCTCAAAATTATCCTCTCTGAATCGTGTTGAGTCTTCAGGCCTTCATTTTATTAAGTGAATATAGTTTCTTTTGATCAAAATTACCACTTCAGCTCCTCCTCTCAGACTGGAAAAGCGGAATTCTCCTATCACTGTTTAATACCTTCAGTGAGCTCTGGTGTCAATTACAGGGAAGTTTCAACTGAAGCAACTCGATCACTTGGATACTCGTGAGTAGTATTAGCTGATTTGGCTTTAAATCAACCTTTTCTCACCACATTGATCGATTGGAGATGATTCATTTGCTGATACTGAGGTTCTGTATCGATTTTGTTACACAATTTTTATGACATGGGGAAATTTAAAAAACCAAAGGAGAAACCTCCTTTCTGCATCCGATTTAACAGAACGCTTTCAGCAAGTCACTTATTTTTTTTGACAAAGGGTTTAGCAAGTGAGTATTTAATATTCTCCGTTCAACAATAAGTTTCCGATGAAACGTGAAAATTAGAAAACAAGACTATTCAACACCGTTTCATCAAAATATGCAAGAGATTGATTACATCGTAAGAACTGAGACACTTTGTTGAACAAGGTCACATGTGCTAAGCGTTCAAGAGCCCTGAATGCAAGTGATAACACTGTTGTGTATGCTGCAACCAACCCCCTTGCATACTGACATTAAGCTTCTAAACAGTGGATGATTACTGCAGGTGAAATGAAAACCTACACAGTAGAAGGACTCGAACCAACGCGGTACTCGACTAGCTGAGTTACGAGACCCAACTGTCTATTCGTCGTATTCACACTAGCTGCTCAGCCAGGACTTTTCATCCCAATACAAATCGACCTGATTTGGAGAGGAGGAACATCATACTGATCATCAGTTTAAATATTTGAGATAGCCATGGTTCAACAAACTTGCTTTCTGCATTACTGGGTTACGACTGAAGGTACCAGTCCAGGTATGTCTTAGATAGCCAACATTATGGTTCAAAATAGCTTTTGATATTGTGTATTGATTCAACCAAGTGAAGCATTACTCACCTTTTTAAAGCCAATGAAATAATATCTATTGGGAGGCTAGTTATTTAGGTTCCTCACGAATGTACTGACAGTTACAATAGAACGTGACACACACTATGCTTGTAATGTGCTAGGCGATGTTTCCAAAGACTAACATGGTACCCATAATTCAGAATTCTATTGCTATTACTATTGTTATTATTTTCCTTTGGGTTCCTAGTGAAACATAGGGCTTCAGTAGCACGCCTCTATTGCACTCTGTTCTCTACAGTCTTTTCAACCTCGCTCCACGACTCCCCACAACCTCTCATTTCTTCCTCACACCATCTCCTCCATATCATCCCAGCCTCGCACGCCCAACTAGTAGTTTCCACCTTCAGTTCCACTCGACGACCTGGCCTGGTGTGTGATGTCCCCAGTCAGCCTTCTCAGTGCATGCCCAATCCATCTCCACTTTCTTCTGTATATTTTTTGGGTGATAAGTTCTTGGTTGGTTCGTTGACAGAGTTCTTTGTTGCTCACTCTTATTATTCTGGCCATCTGATCTTCAGTGTCAGTATTGAGTCAGAGTAGGCGGCAGCTGTTGATGAATATCTTTTCGTGACATGCCAAGTTTCTGAGCCATATAGCAGCACTGACTTGACAATGGTGTTGAAAATCCGGATCTTGTTCTTTACGCTGAATGCAGTTCATTGCAGTAGATTTCCACACTGATTTCAGATTAATGAAACCCTGTCTTGCTTTTCCGAACCTGGCTGGCTTTGACGTCCTCATCTGTGTCACCTGTAGTTGAAGCGATGCTGCCTAGATAGGTGAAAGATGCTACTTCCTTTAGGCTTCTCCCATTGATGGTGATTAGTGTTTGTTGTTGTTGGTAGCGTTGGTTGGGTATCTTCATGAGCTCTGTCTTCTCTATGTTCACTTGAAGTCCCGTCTTTGTCGCCCTGCCTCGCCTCTTCTGTCAACTTGTTGGATTTTACCAGTAGATCTTCGAGTTTGTGCGACATTAGTCATCGGCGAAATCCAAATCATCTAGGATCTTTTCCTCGGTCTAGCCAGTGTATGCCCATCATATCGCTCCTCACTGCTTGCTGTATGAACCGGTCCACCACACTCAGGAAGATCATCGGTGATAGTAGGTGGCAACCTTGTCTCACTCCTTCCTGTCTTCACTTCAAAGGCGTCACTGAGCTGAACATTCCGTTGTGAATCACTTGGAATGTAGCATCCTCACATAGCACAGCATATAGCTGTTGAATGAGGTTGATAAAGGTTTGTGGCACTAAAACCGTATTGTTGAAGTAGCAGCCTGCCAAATCACTTGTCACTCGACGCTGTCGAAGGCCCTTTCAAAGTCGATGAAGTTGAGGTAGAGAGTTAACTGCCATTCTATACTCTTTTCAATGATGATGCGTAGTGTTGCAATTTGATCCACACATGATTTGTTCTTCCTGAAGCCGGTTAGCCTGTTCCGGCGCATCGTTTGGTCTCTCCAGGGTGATGCGGTATAATATTTTGCTGGCTTTGGGTGGATAGCGATGGAGCATGATTCCGTGCCAGTTCTTGCAAAAGCTTAGGTACCCCTTCTTCCGGAGTTCGACAAGGTAGTCGTTCTTCCAATCAATAGGCAGGTAACTTTCCTCCCTTCCAAACCTTCTGCAGTAGTGGTGTGAGGATGTCCGCTGTTGTCTCTGCGTCTGTTTTCGGTGCTTCTGAAGGAACTCCATCTGGTCCTGCTACTTTCTCGGATTTCAGCAACTTTATGGCATTCAGAACTTCGGCTTTTGTTGGAGGGTCTTTGTTCACTGGTAAATTCAGGATTCTATGTTACGGTAAACCGAACCACAGAAATTCATAGTTCTTATAAATTTTTGTACCCGATTCGTCGACATTGTGGAATTCATAGGACACATATATGTACTGAGAACGAGAAGAAGATACTCATTGGATATTACAAGCAGCACTACTCTAGAATATTTACATTAAAAGCGCATAATGATTTCTAGTTTTTTCTCACTGTGTCACATGTGCAACTTTCTGAGATAGTGAGAATTGGACAATTTTCCATTCAATGTAACGTTTTGGTATATGGATCTTTTGAGATATCCAACCTCTCCTCTTCTTAGTAATCACATCAAGAAATAGTGTTATTGATTGAAATTCGATTTTAATCATTAAGATGATTGAGAAATGACAGTGACTGAATGCATATAGTATACTTTATAAATCTAACTCCTGGTAGTATATAATGAAGGTGTCGTCAGAGAATCTTCCGCAGAATTTGAACTATTACGTGACTGGGTCTAGTACAGTGGTTTACAGTTACGAAGCCTACATTTCTCCGATTATCTTAGGGTCACCATGGACTAATGCCATATTTTAGTTTTACCACCTTCACTTCTTAACAACTTAGTTCTACTCTAGTAAACAGTGACTTACAATGCACAACACATATCCCAACTACCTTTGTTAATTAAGACTCAAATGCTCACCAAAATACTGAGCCTCATTAACCTAGTACATGTTTGCTTAGCCACGCTACTGCTTATTTGGTAGCTTCTCCATGCATCAGTGACACTATGAAGGTAAGGGTGGTCGAATATCTAAGTCCTTCCCAAAATTTCGACTCTTCATAGACATGTTTCATAGACATATTGTAAGAAAAAGGTAAAGTGATATGAAGTAACATTCTATCCTCAAAGGGGTTCGAATAACCTCCAGATATGGATGTTAAAGGTTCCAATTAGCTATTGAACGAAGTCATTTAAAAACAATATGCTAAAGAGGTTATCATTTTAAGGTGTCCAATCGTCAAACAAGATTGTTCACACTTCTTAAAAGGTGAAATTCACTTAATTTATGTTAGCAGTAGTTATCTTCGATGCGATTGGATTATACACCACCACATTGCCCAACTTCTATACTTCAATTCAAAGTTGACTTATTTTACTTCAATCATATGATGAAGTAGGTTACTGGTTTATCTAACGTAGTAATAATAGTTGAGCATACAATTCTCAAAACAGAAAAACTAATAAATGATCAACGGGAATAAGATTTATATTACTAGTGGGTAATTCTATCCATCAATTATTTCAAGAAAACATATGATTTATTACTTTTTAAATTGAGTCAATGAGTTAAGTATAACAAATCAATAAGAGGTTTCTGATTATAAATCTGTAGACAACGGATTCAACTATGAAGTGATGAGTGCCAATTAACTACAATTAAGTAACGAAAAAGGTATGAGGTTGATTATCGTCATCATCAAGTTACTGTGTAAACATGGTATTATTGTATATATGTGTGTGACACAGTAAACTTCAGGTCTATGAATTGCTGTTTGAAAACACTGATGATGACAGCGATGATGATAATAGTAACAATAATAATAATAATCGGTTGGTCTGATACCGAATTCAAAGTAGGGAAACTTGAGTAATTAAAAACCACTCAGACTGATTTGTAGTATTTCGCCAACCAGATTAAAGTGGTCTAAACACCGGTTGGCGGTTTCGCTCATTTGACATCAAGGTTATCAGCGGTCTACCCAGAGAAATTCAGCTCATAGGGAGCCGAATCAGTCCAGATCACCTGAATCTAGCTAGCTAGCTGATTTATATGAACCGGTATACCTATCAATGCTTTCCTAGAATCAAAATAATTATTTGTGAAATTCTATGTTCAGATCGAGAATGAGGTTTGATCCAATTGTGAGATTTCATCGTAGATCCTTTCCACTGGCAACTGAAATGTGTGACCTAGTTTCTTCGGTCAATTTAAATAAGTGTGCATTGTTACCTATCACCACAGCCCTTTCCACCTCTTTTTAGCCCCAATCGGTCACTGCTTTCTATGGTTATTGCGTAAACTCTTTGTCAGCTTATATTGGAATTGTTCTGAATTGTGTTAAGGACCTGAAGGATTGTGTTCGAATGCATCTGTTGATGAGGAAGAAGCTGCTGATATCCACTGGCTTTTTCATTAAGGAGTCATATATAGCCTTTAGTGCTTTTTCTACAGCTAATTGAAGATGGTGTCAGGTCTTATAACGATGAGTTATTATATCCTTTCGTGAAAACTGTCTAGCCAGTTCTTCATTTAAAGCACACTGAATATTGTCTTGGTCGAGAAGGATCTTGCAGCTGAAGTCGTTCTAGATCCATTAAGATGCAAACAAATGTGTAATCACTGTTCAAACACATGCTCCGGAAGAAGTAGAAATCTTCTACTGACTGTCTTCAGAGAAAGCTAATGGTGATATGGTGAATCTACATACATGGTTGAGTTGAGGTTGGTGGACAACAAGTCAAACAGTATATCTCTTTTTGTTTGAAATTTAAGTTGGGGAGAAATAATCGATTAATTGAACAAAGTTGTTGCAGGCTATCGCCATTATCCATTCCTTTAGATGAGATACTGAAAGTGCCTACTAAGTACCTTTATGTTTGGCTTAACCCAACCCATTTATGCCTTAGAATCTGCATCTCAACGTTTGTGACAACGTAGAAAGTCAGACAGATTTCACTGAAACTCATATTTCACATCACCAAAACAGAGATAAAACAAAACAACAAGGAGTTTCACTATTCTTTTTAGTCCTCACTGCACCATTCAATCAACAGACAATCATCAAGTGGAATCCAGTAAAACAGTACAATTTCCGCCTTTAGGAATCTGCTATGACTATGCATGCTAGACTGCAAGAACTAGCTACTGAATTTCATGAAACTTGATGCGTGAATTTCGTTGATTCACCAGATTGGCAGAATAACGTTAATTGAATAACCGAACTTAGATCCTGTGTTCATCTGTCAAACACATACGACAGTAGACGTCTGGCTATTGAAACTAGGTATCCCAACTGACAGACTGTGCAGATGTTGGAAGCTCCAATGGAAAGTAGTCTCAGGAGACCAGGGAACTTGAATAGTTATAAAGGTTTGTAGAATTAAAAAACATTAAACTGGAAGTAGGATCACTAACAAAGTATAGAGATATGAAGAAAGATTATCAGTGTAAACAGCTCTACACTTGAATCCATACGCAGAATACTTTAATGTTATCGCTTATGTTTACTTAGTGGAACACTGAAGAGTTTATCAACAACAACAACAACAACAACAAAAGTATACCTAATTCATCGTCTTCTGTCTTGTTGTTTATAAAGTTAAGGTCATGTGTAAAAAATCGATCAACACCCTTCAGAATAAAACGCCTATGATAACAGAGTATTCATTATTTTAGCTTAAATGAGATTTTATGCATACTTACCTTCTGGTTAGGGAATTTAATCTCAAACAAATCGAATAATATCTGTTCAATCATAACTAAAGTTAAATGGTCACTATAGACAAGACGTGATTGAATTTTCAAAAGACGATTTTCAATTATTTGTTGTAAAATACTACATTGACAAATCATTTGTTTACTTTCATTTGAATTAATAATTGTTAAAAATGTTCTAGATGGTTGTAATGATGTCGATTGGCAGAGATTATGAATTTCATTTAAAAATACATTCGGATAATTGACATCCAATAATTCCATTGAATTCTCCAATCTCCTATCATTTCTTAAACTACCTCCACTTTTCCCTTCATCATCATTTTTATAATTGAATAAAAGTTTATTTTTAATATTATTTTGATAAAAATTAGATAAATTCATTAATTTATGATTGATTTTTGATGTCAAATTTTGACAATCCATTTTAAGCGATTTTTCATATTCAATATGTTGAGATAAAATATTCATTATTAATGGAATAGTAGTAATAGTAATTGGTGTCCATGAATAATTTTTTGGATATGGGAATGGTAATGGCCAAACATACTAAAAATAGTAAAAGTTGAAAAAAAGATAGTTTGTTTAAAACTACGAGAAAATCTTTATAGTCAGTAATATTAATGATTATTAAATTTTGAGGGGGTTGTGGCTCAATGGTAACGCGCTGGTCGCGGAACCTGAAGGTCGCGGGTTCGATCCCTGCTGGTGGGGTCGTGGGTGCGCACTGCTGAGGAGTCCCATACTAGGACGAAACAGCTGTCCAGTGCTCCCAGGTTTCCTTTGTCCCTCCAACTGATGTCAGTCTTCGATGATTAATGATAATGTAAAATAATAAGTGAAATTTACTTAGAAATGAATCTGATCATAAATCGATTTTAGTCGGTGAAACTAAGTTTATTCTGTAATGACTATGGTTGACTGGTCATCAACTATTACGAGAATTTAGTGCTACTAACCTACAACGCTACTCAGAAATTAATATAAGCGGGCGCCTTGGAGGGGGGGGGGCACTGGGGTACGAACGGAAAGCTAAATATATTTTGCGGTTAACTGAGATTTTAATGTTTAACTTAATATTCCTCATGGACTGACATCAGTGGATGAATGGTTAACACATTCTCTATGAAACCCGAAGATCTTGATTTCGGTCTTTGGAGAGGTCGTGGGTGTGTACACTGCTGAGAAGTCCCATCCTGGGAAGAAACAGGAGTCCAGTTCTCCTAGGTTTTCAATGCTTCTCGAACTAATGTAAGTTCATGATGAATGCTAACTTAAGTATATTATATTCGACTATAATATTTCATAAAACTTTCAAACACCCTCAAACGGTGTATGAGTCAAAAATAAGCTTTTTTTATTGAATAAACATTGTGCTCTTGTAATTCCCATATAAAGATGTACGAATCGCAACTGAGAATAATAGATCCTTCAAAGAAGAAATTTATGACCCATTAGACGTGTGGATTGTAGCGAGTGGAGGACCAGGATGTGACTTACAAGTATTCTCATGAAGTATAAAAACTCCGTTTTGCAGAGGAATAATTTCCACTGCTTTGCAACTGCCAGACACTGGAATGCAGAGAATAATCTACACAATATATATACATTGGAAATCGGATTCTATTCTAGAGAAAATTACGCATGAGTACTAATTGCAGAACTTGCCAAACCAAGAGAATATGTTAGTTGACTCTTAATTCCAAAGATTCACGGGACTGACATTGAACTCTCTTTGATATGAAAGGCTTATCTGATGCTACAGAAGTCCTTTATGTTTGACTTTTCTTTAGCTGCAGCTTGGCTCTATTGTCTATAAGAAAACATCCCTTAGGACATTTCATTTTGGAGGTGATGGTCAAAGACGTGAAACTCATCAAATCGCTTCATAATCCTGTAACTCTAAGATTCTCTTTAGTTAGTTGTACAGTTACCAAGAATGGGCTGCCATCTTATCACTGCTGTGTAGATTCAATCGAATATCAAATGCGAACAAAATTCATCAACAAGATTATTACAAAATTGATCTAAAGAATTCCCATTGAAGCTTATAAGTAGCACTTCACTGAATGCTATTTAATTAACCAACATAGCTGAAAGTGAAACTTCATAAAAATCGAATAAACTACATGAGGTCATCATCATCATCATTATCAACATAGGACCAGGCATTACTGCCTCACGGTCCGAGTTGCCACACCTCATATCAGCACATCAAGTAAAAAGGTAGTGAGGTGAAGGATGAAGATAAGTGAATGCAGTCAAAAGAAATATAAAGTACAAGAAGAAAGGAAAGAGGAGTGACAAAATGGTGAGATTCGGTATAACGTTGTTAAGATGAGGATTATGTGTATCTACATCTGCGCCACTGACTTCGGTTCTGAGCCATATCACCTAGGATCTCCAACCACTGGTTCCTCTTGTCCTACCGACCCCAACCACCTAGTCTGCATCGTCCTACATGGCTTAAACCAACAGTCAGAGACTTCATACATTGGTGCCATGTTTAGTCTGGCCACCTCAAGTATTTCTCCAGCCTGGACCCACCTCAGCCAACATTGTGTGACAAGGCAATCGGTGACTAGGCATACGTAGTACGTGTCCCAACCATCTCAGTCGATGAAGGTTCATAACCGTGTCAACTGACTTATCTCTTCTCCCTGAAACTCTACACCTGACTTCTGCATTACTCACGTGGTGACACCATGGAATACGTCCTATACTACGAAGACAACGGTGGTCAAACACTTGAAGCCTTTTTGTATCCTCCACTTTCAATGGCCATGTTTCACAGTCATACAGTAGAACAGAGCGGACTGAGGTACATACAGTTGATTTTGGAAAGTTAGAAACAACTACGAATGCATGAAATTCTTAGATTTTCCCTCATATAATAACTCCTAACAAGGCATCGGTGGGGATAAGTTCAAAGATTGGTTCTCCCAACACATGTTTCACCTCATGATCAAACTCATTTAAGCTTTCTCCAAAAATTAACATATCGTAAAAAATTGTAAGATATTAGTAAATATTAGTAAGAATGTGAACCATCATCTCAATGGATTTAATATCAAACAGGTCGGCACATTTGCTTCTTTTCACGTGAATTTAAAAAATGCATCCTTTTTATATCAAATAAAATATGTATACCGAATATATGATGACGTGATGTAAACTTAGCGTATGTTAATATGTATAAAGGTAGTGTTCATCACAGACTGACATCAGTTGGAGAACTATTGAAAACGTAGAAGCACTGGGCACCTGTTTCGTCCTAGTATGAGATTCTTCAGTCCATGATGAATACTAGCTTGAAATAAAATGCCTACACACCTCAAACTGCAACTGCTGTATGGCGCTCAATAGTGATATGCTTCCAGATGGATATCTTGAAGTTCTAATGAGAAACCGTGATCTGTTTGGTTAACCAGTAGGAAACTGAAGTGGATGTCAACTGAAGACGTTGGTGGATAGCCGCGCTCAATTGCGAACTGAGAGAAGTAGGAAACTGTGAACGGTTGCGTTACGACCCAGTGGCTGAGTGGTTGAAGTATTCGCCACGAGACCTGAAGACAGTGAATCCGATCGCCAGCGAAGTTGTAGGTGCGTAGCACTGAGAAGTTCCATACCACGAAGAAACAGCTGCCCAGTGCTTCCAGGTTCGCAATGCCGCTCTAACTGATTAAATTCTGTGATAAATACTACCGCTTCAATTACACACTAAATACTGTACAACTGATTAAAAACTTTAGACAGTTGAATTCGTATGAAAACGGAGTGAGTGAGGGAAGATAAAGCAAGTCACTGAACACTGACTTTTGTGAATCATATAGGTGTTTTGAAGAAGGATAAGTTTATGTAAGTTGTCAATGTAGACAGATTTTACGCTGAAATCTAATGTCTTCATGATGCTTTTCTTTTAGTGGTGCTACATTTTATTATGCAAAGAATTTCACTATAAAGGTTCGACTACCCTTTCAAATGACATCATAAGGCGGGGCTACTAAACCATGTATCACGGAATCCTAAAAAATAGAAAAGTATCCAAAGTAGTAGACAACATGGCGCATAAATGTCAGTCCACAGCAGCATGCAGAGAAGAAGGAATGACATTAAGGTTTAAAAAAAAGTAGAATAGGAGAAAGAAGTGAACGACACTTATTCACTGACATTTGGAATTATCCGTTGTTCATTACATTGGACCGAATTGATCGGTCTCTGATGGATACATAAATTCCTTAAACGGACGCATCGGTATTACTTCAGGTTTTACTTCGATGTTATATATAATTCGTGGTGGTTAACAGGGGAGTACAGAACATACTTCTCGTGCTATTTGGGACTCGAAATCAGATTGAAAGCCACACCAGGGTAGTAGGTAATGACCCTCACTTGTCATTTGGGGGGTAATCAAATTACTTGGTCGCCTACATCTCGGTTGGTGGACCCGTGTTCGGATATGCGACTAACTGGTTGATAGCCAACTACCCGAACCAGTGAGTCGCACCACCACAACCTAGGGAGCTCTTAAAATTGACTAATCAAGTATTTCTGATTCCGCACTAAGACACCTGAGACTTTCGGAAGGTTTTTGACAGTTTTCATCTGAGTTATCACATAGTAATATCAATTCGACAATGAAAAAGATTTTCGATACGTAGTACATTCAGTCTTCATACATTGATTGGTCACTGGACAGCAACCAATCTCATGTTGTCTAGTCCCAAATGCTTCCTGTCGATTGCCTCCAACCAAATAACATCTATTAAAGTGCACCCCGATGGTGAGCCTCCAAGCTTAGTGATCACATTGCTAAATGATCGATGAAATTCGTTCATCACTCAGGACTAGTCAATACGAGATTAGCTGCTCTCCAGTGCCCAGTCAGTACATCTAATCCAGTCTCACAAGACGTCGATAGTGGTCCAAATCGCTCAATGGTACCGTCGCTGACTGTAACGCTGGATGATGCGAGTTTGAACCTCACAGCAGACATCAATTCCCTTGGGGTTGCAAATATCCCTTGCCGATGAGTGCCAACAAGCGCAAAACCTAGGTCAAGAGCTTCCTACCGATCGCCTCCAACCAACTAACATTCAGTCTTTGCCTTTATACTAAGTGGGGTACAGTATTCAGCGTAACACATAACAAATCATAAGTTGAAAGGTGAAATATTATCTGATAACAACTTAGCAGGTGGTCATGCATGCATGCATCATATACACTAAAACAAATGAACGAACAGAATTATGTCATTCATCAACAAAACAATTGAGTATATTCCTTCTAGGCATTAAAACAAAAAAAAAGAGAAAAGAAGATAAAATGAATCGATTTGTTTTTGTCTTATTGTGATTCAAAGATATAATGAATAACAACATTCTAGTGATCAACATTCAATTTCATTCCCATTCATTTTATTTTTCTGTCTCTATTCCAATCAATCTGATTGGCTGATATTTGTTTGACCAACAGAAATTTAAATAAACTTGATGTATTTGACTAAATTATTATGCCTTTCTCTTTCAGGGTATTTCACATAGACAAAA